ATTTTATTAACTTTTATTAAAAGGATTTTTATTTAATATAATTTTAAAATATTTATAAAATTAATATTTTAAAAATATTATTAAATTTTAAATTAATATAAAAGTTTTAATTATAAATTTAATTAAGTTTTAATATATATAAATATTATTATTTAATTTAATTTTAATAGATTTTTAATTTTAATTATTTTAAGCTTTTATTAAAATATAAATAGTTTTAAAGTTTTAATTTATTAAAGTTTAATAGTTCTTATTTTTAAAAAATTATACTTTAATTAAATTAAATATAGTTTAAGTTATTTTAATTAAAGATATTTAATAAATTAATTAAATTAAAGAGATAAAAAAGATAAAATTATTTAATTTTAAGATTTTAATAATTTTATTTATTAAAATTAAAAGTTTATACTTTTATAAATAAAAGTATATTTATATAAAGATAAATAATAATAAAGTATTAAGTTTAAAGTTTTAAAGTATTTAAAGTAAGTAATTAAATTAATTTATAATTATTACTTTAAAGTTATTATAATTTAATAAATAGTTAATTTAATTTTTTATTTAAATTTAAATAGGAAAGTAATTATTTTTTCTATAAGGGATTTTAATAGAGACTATTTAATAAAAAAGGAAGAATAATTATTATTATAATAAATTTTATAATAAATAACTTTATTAAAGCTTTAATAAAAATTATTATCTTTATAATAACTCTTTTAAAGTATTTAAAGGAAATTTTATTAAATAAATTTAATATATTTACTTTATATAGTATTATAAATTTCTATTTAATTAAAAGGTTAATTTTAAATTAATTAAATATTTAAGTTTTATTTAAGTAAAGATTATTATTAAGTTATTATTTTTAAAGGTTTAATAAAATATATTAAATTTAATTTAACTTAAGGTTTAAGTTTTTAACTTTTTAAATATTAATTTAAATTTTTAATTTATTATAATATTTAATAGTTTATCTAATATATTTTTAAATATAATATATTTTAAAGTATTTATATTATAATAAATAATAAAAGTAAATTTATTAATAAATTTTAAATTTATATATAAGTATAAATATATTTATAACTTTAATTAAATAAGATTTATAATAGTTTATTTATTTAAAGTAATAAGTTAATTTAGTTTTAAAAGTTAATACTTTATTTATAATATAGTGTAATAGTTATATAATATATATATTTATTAATATATAGCTTAATATTTAAACTTTTTCTATTTTTATAAAGAGAATTAATAATAAATAAGTTAATATTATTTAAAATATAGTAGTTATTTTTAAATATAGTTAAAATATTATTATTTTTAATTTATTTAAATTATTTAAATTTAAATTAAATTTTATTTTATTTAATATATTATTAACTTTATTTTAAATATTTAATTTATTATTTATTAAATAGTATTTTTAAAGTTAAAGTTTTTTTAAAATATATTATATTAAAATTATTTATTATCTATTATAAAAGTTTAAATAATATTATTAAAATATTATTATAGTTATTTTTAATTAAATTAATAAATTAATTATAATTTTTTAAAGTTTTAATTTTATTTTTCTTTTATATAAAGGTATTTATAAGGAGTTTAAGTTAGAAATATATTAATATTCTTTTATTTTAAAGGGCTTTTTAATATTAAATAGCTTTTATTTTTATTTTAAAGTTATATAATTAAAATATTATTAAAAATATATACTTTTAAATTTATAATTAAATAAATAATTATTAAATAAAATATAAAATAGCTAAATACTTTTAAAATATTTATATAAATTTAATAAAAATAGATATAAATTAATTAAAGTATTAATAAGATTATACTCTTTTAATTAAGTTAATTAAAAAATAAGCTAAAATATAAAGAAAGATATAACTTTATATAGTCTTTTTTATTAAATATTATATTTTTATTTATTTTAAAGGTTTATTTTAAAAGTATATAAATTAATTTTATTAATAAATAATTAAAATAAAATATTATTAATAATTTATTAATATTATTTTATATATTATAAAATATATAGAAATATAGTTACTTAGTTAAAAGAATAAAGTAATATATTTTTAAATATATTTTTAAATATTATAGTTATAATATATATTTAAATATAAATAATATTATTAATTAAATAAAGTTTTAATAATATTTTTAATATTTTAAAATTTTTATAAAGTACTTTTTTAAAAGGTTTATTTATTTATATTTATTATAATAAGTTTTTATTTTTATTATTAAATAAAGTAATTTAAAATTATAAATAAATTATATTTAATAAACTTATTAATAAGTTTTAATAAAACTATCTTTTATAACTTTTATTTTTAATAATATAAATTTTATAATAATTAATAAAGCTTTAAAAATCTTTTATATAATATTCTTTTATTAATATAAAATATTTATAAAAGGTTTTAAAAGTTATTTTAATTTTTATATAGTTTAAATTATTTAATAATTATATTTTTACTCTTAATTATTTTAAAACCTTAAAAGGTTAGTTAAGAGTCTATTTTTAAAAGAATTAAAAATTCTAATAACTTTAAATTATATATATTTAAATTCTAACTATAATTAGTTAAATTAAAGTTATATATATAGTTTTAATTACCTTTAAGTTAATATAATTAAAGTTATTAAATATTTAATTTAATATAAATAAAATCTATTTTATTATAAAAGTTTTAATATAATATTTTAAAATTAAAAGATATAAGGTTTTATATATTATTAAAACTTTTAATTAATATTAACTAATAGTAAGTAGGCTTATTTAACTTAAAATATTTATAAGAGTAAAATTTATATTTTTATTTATTATTTTAAAATAAATTATTTAATTTTTATAATATATAAAAATTAAAAAATTCTTTAATAAATCTTTATATTAGGTTTACTTTTATATTATACTTTTATTTAAAAAATTTTAATAAAGTATTTATATATTAATACTTTCTTTAACTTTTAATAATTTTAAAGTAAAGTAAGTTAAGTATAATTCTTTAAGTTTTATATTTAATTTTTATAATATTTAAAGGTTTTGTTAATTTTATATATTATTTATAATTAAAAGTTTTTACTTTTATTAGTATTTAATAGGATATTTTTCTATTAAATCTTATATATTATATATTAATAAATTAAATTTAATAATTTAAAGTTTAAAATATTAATAAATAAAGGTTTTTAATTAAATTATATTTAAATTAAATTAATTTTTATTAAAACTTTTAATAATAAGTTATAAATTAAAGTAATTAAATTTAATTAAAGATAATATTTTAATTATAAAGTTTAAATATTATTATTAAAAGGTAGTATTAATAGTAAAGATAGAAATTATTAATTAAGTTATTATTATAAGCTTTTAATTAATAAAAGTTATTAAATCTCTTTTAAATTTTAATTTTATTATTAATTATAAAAGATAGATAAGTTTATTTTAAAGTTTATTTATTAATAAATAATATTAAGTTATTAGTTTAAATTTTTAAAAGTTATAATATAATAAGTACTATTTATATAATATTTATTATATAGTAAATAAAATATTTAGTTTTAAAAGATTTATATTTTTATTAAAATCTTATTTTAATAAAGTAATAAGTATTTATAAAGAGTTACTAAGTTAAAATAACTTTTAATAATTATATATTAATTAAAAGTTTATTAAAGTAGTTAAGAATATTAAAGGAATTTTAAGTTAAATTTAAAAGCTTTTTAAATATAATTATTATTATAAAACTCTAATTATTTATTAATAGGATAGTAAACCTTTAAGTTTTATAATAGTTTAATTATAAAGTAATAAATATTTTAATATAATTAAAAGTTTTTATAATAAAAACTATTTAATTATTTTATATATAAATATATAATAATAATAATATAAAGTTAATTTAATTCTTAAATTAAAATAAAATAATAAAATATATAATAAAGGTATATAATTATAATTACTATATAATAAGAAATAAAATAGATTAATAGTTTAATAAATTCTTAATAAATTTATTAGGTATTCTATATAGTAAATCTACTATAAATTTATAATAAATTAATAAATATTATAAATTTATTATAAATTTATAGTAGAATAATAAATTTATTATAAATTTATAATAAAATATATTAATTAGTATTTATATATTTAATAAGTTAATTTATATACCTAATATTTTCTTTCTATATATTTAATATTTATATTTATATATAAAGTTTATAAAAACTATATACTTAATTAAAATTCATTAAATTTTTAATATTTAAAATATAAACTCTTTTAAACTTTTTTAATATTCTTTTAATATTTTTTACTTTTACTTTTAATAATTTTTAATATACTTTTAACCTTTTAAAACTCCTTTTAATCTATATATCTTTAAATATATTTAAGTATTAATTAAATATTTAAATATTAATTAAATATTAAAAGTTAAAAGTTTAAAAGTTAAAAATTAAAAAATATTAAAATATTAAAATAATATAATCTTTATTTTTACTTTTACTTTTTAATTTTATAATATTTAATTAATATTTAAATATTTAATTAATATTTAAATATTTAATTAATATTCAAATATACTTAAAAATATATAAATTAAAAAGAGTATTAAAAGGTAAAAATAAAAAGTTTTAAAAAATATAAATAAAAAGTTTTAAAATATAAAAATAAAAAAGTTTAAAAAAGACTTATACTTAAAGTATTAAAAATTAAAGAAAAAGCTTATATTATAGGGTTATTTAGTACTGATTTAGAAAGTACTTATAAATGTAAGGGAGTTACTAAGAAAAGTAGGTATTAGGTGAGTGGAAAGAAAATGCTGGGTGTGTGGACTGACTTGCTGGGTGTGTGGATGCTGGCTCCCTAGGTTCCTTGTATAGTGCATATGATTGTGAGTGACTTACGTAAGCGAAACCAAGCTATGACGCAGGCAGGGGTCGTCCAAACCGATCTAAGAATTTCCCGACGGCAGCCCAAGTCAACAAGCACCCAGCATCGCACCACGCCCCCGAGCGAGGGGCCGACAGGTTGTCACGATGCTGAAATCAACCTACAAGCCCTCTGCGAACTCGCCCCCGCCGCTGCTCCCAGGATGGACCGAGCACAAGGCACCGACGGGGCACACGTACTACTACAATGCGGCCACCAAGACGTCCACCTACACGCGCCCCAGCGCAGCGCCGCCGGCCCCCGCGCCCATGGACGCCTCCGCGAGCTTCATGCAGCACAATGCCGTCCCCAACATGAACCTGTCCGACCCCCGCGTCGCCAATGCCTTCATGTCGCAGTACAACCAGCCGCCAGCCGCACAGCAGAACCACAGGGGAGGAGGAGGAGGCGCACATGGTGGCAGGGGAGGCAGGGGAGGGGCACACGGCGACAGGCCGCGACCGCAGCCGACCGACAAGCCCAGGTCCAAGGTCGCCATCCCGGGCTGCGAGCCGTGGGTCCTGGTATACACAAAGTGCCAGCGGCGCTTTGCCTACAACCCGGTCAAGAACGCCAGCTACTGGCGCATCCCCGAGAAGCTGATGCCCGCGATACTCGAGCTGGACAGGGCGAGGATACGGGACAAGGCAGGGCTTGGCGAGAGCAAGGAGCAGGATGAGGCCAGGTCGGCCAGCCCCCCACAGGGGAGGCCAGGTGCGGATGGTCAGGGTGCCGATGACCATCAGACCACCGGGGACGGGGCTGCCGAGGAACCCCAGCACGACTACGACAGCTCCGAGTACGAGGAGGTCGAGGTCACGGATGACGAGGGCGAGGAGGGAGACGAGGGAGACGAGCATGCCACAAAACGCCGGAGGGTCGGAGAGTCATCAGAAGATGGCGACCGACCAGTCGAGTTCAGCGAGGCAGACATCGCGTTCCAGCTCCAGGCCATGGGCCAAGAGTACGGGCTGGATCCAGGCGAGTATGACGACGGCAACATGGAGGAGTGGCCAGAAGGTGCAGCTGGCATGGAGCTGTCAGACGAGGACGCCAGGGCCTTGTTCAAGGATCTCCTCAACGACTACGCCATCAACCCGTACAGCCCTTGGGAGAAGCTCATCGAGGAGGGCAAGGTCTTTGATGACAGCCGGTACACCGTCCTCGGCACCACCAGGGAGAGGAAAGAGGTCTGGGAGGAATGGTCCCGGGAAAAGATCAAGGAGCTCAAGGAGCAGAGGGCAAAGCAGGAGAAGAAGGACCCTCGCATACCGTACCTCGCCCTGCTCCACGACAAGGCGACGCCAAAGCTGTACTGGCCCGAGTTCAAGAGGAAGTACAAAAAGGAGCCATCCATGAAGGACACGGCCCTGCCAGACAAGGACCGGGAAAAGCTCTACAGGGAACACATCAACCGGCTCAAGCTCCCGCAGGCCACGCTGAAGAGTGACCTCGCCACCCTGCTCAAGTCCATGCCCATATCACAACTCAACAACAAGACCCTGCTCACCCACCTGCCCCCACAAGTTATCACCGACATCCGCTACATCTCGCTTGATGCCAAGACTCGCGACCCCCTGGTCGAGGCCCTGATCCAGACCCTGCCCCCGCCCCCGGAGGACGGCGAGGCGGCAGAGCATGACGAGGCCGCACAGAAGGCGCTGGACCTGCGGCGGAGGCGGGAGAAGGCGCTGCAGGACCGGGAGAAGGCCGTCGAGGAGGAGAAGCGGAGGCAGGAGAAGAACCTGAGGCACAGCAAGGCCTTGCTCAGGGACGGGGAGCGGGAGCTCGAGGCGGCCATGGAGGTTGGGAACAGGGGGCTGCACAGCCAGCTAGACCGGCAATGACCGACAGACCTTTTGATTGAGGGTAATTCAACGATCTATACTATGGTTTCCCGCCTCCTGAAATATGTTCCATGTACACCCGAGAGCCACAGTAAGCCCCCAAAGGTCCAATGTCTACCACACGCCGCCATTGAGACCCCTACCCACACATCACTTCCGCGTCGCAACCACAAACAGCCTCGGGTACCGTAAAAGGACCTTGCCGTCGGCCAGCCTGGGGTACAGCTCCGCGATCCTCCTCTCATAGGCCTCAAGGTAGCTCTCCTTCACCTCCCGGTCCGGCAGGGCGTTGAGGAAGGGCTGCAGCCCGCTGCCCTTGACCCACTCGACGATGGAGGCGGGCGAGTCGAGCGGGTGCTGGTACAGCGCGTGCCAGATGTCGACCCTCTCGCAGAACGGGATCAGCGCGTTGTAGTAGTCGGCCGGCGCCTCGACGGGGTCAAAGTCCGGGCGCTGGGCCGCGGGCAGCGCCTGGAAGTGCTCGAACCAGGGGCCGTCGAGCAGCGCCGTCTCCCGCATCGCGCGGTGCGTTGGCTCCTCGTAGTTGTCCGGCATCTGGAGGGCGAGCACGCCGCCCGGCCGCTGGGCCCGCAGGAGGCGCAGGATGGTGGGGATGCGGTCCTCGGCGCGCAGCCAGTGGAACACGGCGTTGCCGAGGATGAGGTCCGCGCCGGGCTCGGGCGAGTACGTCCGCAGGTCGCCCTCGACGAACTCGACGCCCGGCATGGCCTCTCGCGCCTTGGCTAGCATGTCCGGGGATGAGTCCATGCCTGTGATGGTCGCGCCTGGAAACCGCGCTGCCAGGACTTCGGTTGAGTTGCCTGGGCCGCAGCCCACGTCGATGATGCGGTCGGCCTTGGGCAGTGGGATCTGCGCGACCAGCTCTCGTACCGCGCGCGTGCGCTCGTTTCCAAACTTGAGATACTGGCTTGCTGACCAGTCTGGCTTCTGGGCCGTGGGATTCCCAGGGCTGCTGCCCGTGGTCGTGTTATTCGAGTTGTGCTGTTGGCTCATCCTGAAAGACGTCCTTGATATGGTGGAGAAGCTGTGGGCTGTTGTTATCTTCGTCCTTGAACGCAGTAGCGCATTTCTGGGGGCCCTGGAGGATAGCATGATGTGCCCATACCTACAATTGGGAGCGAGTACCGAGGGTGGGCTGTAAGGTCTTATATAATAATAATGTCACGAGCCACATCTACTTACACTAGGTGCCTCTCATCCGATGCCGAGCGGGCATCGGCTGAGCATGATATAGTGGCGAAGACATACCCTAACCCTGTAAACCGTTCCAGAAAACAGGATTGCAATGTGCAAGGATACTGGCGAGGTGGAGAAAGTACCCTAAGGTACCTAGGTAACGTCGCCCTAGAAATAGATCATGGAGAGCGCCAGAGTAGCTGATAGGTCTGCACTGGAACGTGAGGCCAAGATCTATGCGAACATTTGAAAGGGATGGCTGAGGCCGAAGTGATAGTCACATTGGTGAGAATGTTTGCTTAGCCGCAAGCCTGCTTGTATCCGTCCTTGCATCGGAGCACGACTCCAAGGTCGTGATCGGGTCATCTCACTTGTTTCGAAGATTCATAGGACGACGATTAAGAATAACGAAGATGCTCATAGAAGGACAATTTTCGTGTAGCAGGTCGTATACAAGCGCGAAATTAGCAATCACAATTCATTGTTATCCTCATTTCTGCTTTAAAGCCCGGCCATTTTGTCCCCAGAGCTCTGTCCTCGGGTGTTCGTGCTGGTTTACGGTCGCAATCGTAGTGACCAAGCTCATAGTTGAACGTCTATCAACTTGAATCCTCCGGGGCATAGCTTCTGGAAGACCTGCTTGGGGTCGTACTCAGCTGCCACCTCCTTCATGAACTTGACGTTCTCGTCTCCGTAACTGGCCAAAGGGTTTTGGCTCGGGTCAGCGTAATTGAGATACACGAAGTCGCTCAGCCCGTCAGGGATGGTTTGCGCGAACTCCTGTACCTCTCGGTTCCAGGCCTGCACTTTGGGGTATGCATAATCTCGCAGTTCCTTTGTTGGGAACAAAGCCGTCGCCATGAACATGATACCATCCTGCTTGTAGCGCTCCAGGCCCAGCATGTTGCCACCGGCCGCGACGGACTTCTCGGCAAATAGAGTTGGCAGTGGTTGGAAGACGCACTGCGTGATGAAGTTTTCGTCGGGGACCACGCCCTTGAGGTCTTCTACTAGGATATCGTGCAGCTCCGAGGCCTTGGCCATGATGCGCTTGTCGTTCTTGAAAGCACAGGTGAACCAGATGACACTTCAGATAGGATGATCAGTTTACCGAAGTGATGGAACATAAACAATCGGCCGGTACTAGAACTACAAATTTTGAAGACAACTTACTGATGATGAGTTGATTGAGTATATTCGACGGTGAACTCGCTGACTGTTTTGATTCCGAGTTGGCTGATGGTCGTGGGAATGTCCAAAAATTCCTTGAAAGCCGGCGCCTTTTCCGTCCCCACCATGCTTGCATCTTTGAGTGAGGAGCAATTAGCATGTTTGAAACATCCATAATGAGAATTACATGTCAGCCAGCCAGCGGGAAATACTCACAAGCAGTCGCAATGACAGTGTCCTTGATGTCACCGAGCTCAGGTGAGTGCATCAACAGAGTCCACACGGTCTCAGTGGGGTTGTCCTTGACCTTGGTTGTGAAGTTGTGCATGGCGTCGATGGAACTGGATATGTACTCCTTCGGGGATATCGTCAACCCGCCCCAGATCTTGTTATTGCTTAGCATGTTCATCCTGAAGTTCGTGACGATGCCGAAGTTGTTGGAGCCGCCCTTTAGGGCCCGGAACAGGCGGGCATGGTGGTCTTTGTCGGCTGTGACGATGCTTCCGTCCGCCAGCACTACCTCATATGAGATGATATCGTCGCACGCAAAGCCTCTCTGGGAGTTCAGAAACGCCAATCCACCTCCTAGGAGGAACCCGCCAACACCGACGTTCGCCTCCCGGCCCCCTGCGACGGTGTAATTATGCTTGTGCAGCTCGTGGTAAACATCTCGCCATCGACCTCCAGGGCCGATGTTCACCGTCTCAGAAGCAGCATCAACATTCACGTGGTTAATCAACCCCAAGTCGATCTAGAATCACCAATGTCAGCGTATGGTTGCTTTCAGAAGGTGAGTTTGGGTCGAAATACAGTAATGCCGTTTGCAATGTTGTTTGCCCCAGCCCAGCTCATATGGCCGCCGCTTCGGACCGCGAATTGATGCCCAGCAGACACTAGGGCCTTCAACGCTGTAGAGACTTCGTCTGCTGAGCGCGGTCTCACAATGCATGCTGGTCCAAGTTTTGCATCATTGCACCAGTATGAATCCTCGCGGCCAGCGTAGTCAGGGTCTGACGGTAAGAGGACTTGGGATGCCAAACCGGCATCGTACAAGCTGTCAGCCATGGTAGAAGTAGAAGGGGGTTCCTTAGGGACCGCAGTCATATAATTATCAGAAGATCGATATTGGTTTCCCTTCAGACCAAAGAAACTCGAAAAGACTCGGTTTGGGGACAAGTGGCAGGTGGGCACAGCTCTATTTAAAATGTAACCTTGCTGGCCCCACTCACCTTGTGAGCGCTGGCAGCATTGGCGCCCGGGTACATCCAGTATCCGTATGGTAGAGGAGCACGAGTGGAGAGGATCCAGGATCCGGCTGTTGATTGGGTTCGTGCGTATGGATCTACGTAGCGCGTTTCTCACCGACCTCAACTCCAATCAGGCTTGCGCAGCCGGCCAGCACCCGGCCGCAGGCACTGATTATGCTACCTGGGTACCTTCACATACATTTCTATGAGCCGCTACATATTGACAACCTTGGCAATTAGGATGCGAGCCCACTGTGACTCTGTTCCATCTCCCTGGTCACCTTCGAGTCACCCAACGGGGTGTTGTCGTGTAGGGGATTGAGCAGTGTGGAAAAGTACTAATATGGAGTATTGTGTTAGCCAGAGTCGGTCAAGTGAAGTTGTCTTGTGGCCTTTGATATGAGGCAGAACTGCTGCCTTCTACTAGTAGTTGTTTAAGCAGGGTTCGGGCTGGCCAAGCCTCAATGCCAGGTCGCCTACAAAATCACAATTCATACCGAAAATTTCGTGTTGGCGATCAATTGATGTAATGATGGTGTAATGAATGTGAATTTGCATTTCTTTGCCAAGTGTCATTTCTGCTCAGGTGACAAGGTTCCACAGCCGGTGGCCTAGTACTAGTAGAGTGCAAATGAATGTACTCACAAGCCAGTGTATTTATTGACCCTGGTTGGGGACCTTTGTCCCGTCTGTGGTCTCTGCATACGTTGAAAAGATATAATTAGGTACAGAGCCTTGTTGGATCAGCCGATGTTGGGGGGCGGAGAGTTTCTAGCTCTGCCACTGTCCCAAGGTGAGGGTTGCTACATTCCCTTTCAGCTTCACTTTGGTGTGGTTATACAACACTCACATACGCAATATATCACAATCCTGCTCAGCTGGGCATTCTTTCATGGCCCCTGCGTCTGGCCCCATCCGAAGTCAACCTTGGCGATCAACGCGTAAGGTCTGCACTGCAGTCCCTTGTATGCCTAGGTGCCTTATTACTGCCCCGTGGGACCCCAACGACATGCCACTACGCAGATTGGACAAGAAATGATATTGGGGGCTACTTTTTAATGAGTCTTGTGTCACTAAGGAATACTATTCGAGCTAGCTAGTTGCCAGTTGAGGCGAGCCTTCTCCCTGCTCTCCATCATTCAGCGTTTTATGGTGCTACATTGCCGAAATTTGAATCATTTTTCTCTCGAATAAATCACAGTCCCTACCACAACCTATGGATCGCAATTCAAATAACGATGATGTATTCGGGCGTTTGCTCTTCACTGGTGCCTACGGCCAGCATTGGCAGTCCACCGCTCCAACGGGAAGAAAGGTATCCGGGATGGACGCAGCCCACGAGGACAGATTACAAGGTGCAGCTCGAACACAAAACACCTACTCCAACCCACGACGAGATTATATCTGCGGGGGCTGTGCCTCTAATTCTTCATTGCCGCATCGTATGGGACGCGCAACCACCAATCCCCCACTTGCCCTTGAGGATATAGGGAAGTGCGACTCGCACGTCTCTCCTCTTAATACCCCACAAGAGGAAGAGATCACCGACCGTCAAGAACCTGGCTATAGGCCGTTGGAACAGAGAGACAATGACTGCTTGTCGCGACCTCATGGTGAGGCACAAGGCAGCAGTCAGAACCCAGACATATTCTGGCTGCCATTTTGGGCACGGAGGACAACCCTTCTACTATTCATGGCGACTTTCACACTGATGGCTACAATTCTCGAAGTACTCTTCACAATATCCCGAATAAACTCCGGCCTGTCTCAGGGAATATCGACCATTCGATACTCCTGGAGTTACGGGACAACCGGCATTCTAACGTTGACTGCTGCTTTGTGGCACCGTTTGGACTACGAAACAAAGGTTCTGGCACCCTGGCTCAGACCATATTCAACAACCACCAGCAAAGCTGCCTGGCTTCTTGACTACGTCAATGCCTGGTCTCTGGTGGTCCCTTTCCAGGCCCTCAGGAACCAGGATTATGAGGTCCTCTGCAGCTCAACTGTATCCCTGCTACTTCAGGTCTTGATCGTTCTCTCCACCGCATTATTCACTCTAACCCCGACAAATCTAGTAGAAGAAGCGGAGCCTATATTCCTCACAAGTCGATTTGTCGATGACCCAGCGCGCTTGATGGGTAGCGAGTCTTTACTTCCCTATTACATCACCATGGGAACCGGGGTCTCCATGGGTAATCTCAGCGATATGGTGGGTGAGAATTCAGTGCATCCTGAAGGGTGTACAACACAGTTTGCCTATCAGACATTTCATCCGGCCTCCTCAACCCTCGAGGAAGTGAGAACTACCGTTGATGGGCTGTCTCTGAGACTCGCATGCGAGACAGGAAGTGTTGGGGAAAAGGTACCGATGCCCTCATTATATATCGGTGCTTATGGGGTTTCCTGGGAAGGAGAGCCATACTTCGAGGTCGAGTATCAAGGCTGTCAAGCGACCATCCACTGGGAACTCTTCACATCCAACTCCCAAGACAGTTTCTGGGTTGACATGAACCACGACTCCAACGAGCATTGGATGGTACTTCGTGACGTTCCGGGTTTCGCTCTTAATCAATGCAATTCAACTGAGCATGCAGCCAGTCGCTTGGTGTTCTTGTCCGCCGAGGTGGAGTTGCGCTCGAACAATCAGAGCACATTTTATGATGATGAAGGTTTTGAAAAGGTCCAGGTCAACATTGATGCGACTGTCTCCCAGGCGGTTGTACTGGTGTGCGCTCCTTCTTTGGAACAAACTCTGCTTGATATTTCTTGGAGCAGTGGAGGCGTCCAACATGTTTCGCGCCACGGCGACGATCTTGCTGACGTGTTGAGCCTTATCCAGCCTTGGGACTTCATCGACTTTTTTTTGGATGAAGACATCCTTCCCGCGTTGGTTGGAAATGAGGTTGCGGTGGGAAATACGACTGTATGGGCTGATGTCTACTCTCAAGTTGTTTTGGGGTTTTGTGGTCAGTCATGTTTGACAGCTTCGGGACTTCTGAACGACACGGCCTCTCTCCAGAAAGTTTTGTCTACATTTCTCGCAGACTACGCTTCATCCACCGCCCATACAATGCTCACGGAAGGGGTGAATATCACATCAACTGGGACCTCTTCAAGCATTGGAATACGCCTGTGGGTTCAACCACTCGTCTGTCAGGCAATGGTTATGTTTCTGGCTTTGATCATCCTGACGATTGTGGGGTTTCAGTTCAAGTTTAAGAATAAATTGACACGCAGGGTCGATCCTGGGTCAGTTGCTGCGACAGCACTTCTCGCCGGACAAGTCGCATCTTCCAGCTTCCCGAAGGACCTGGGGGCAGCAAACGCCAAGGATCTGCACGAAGCGCTTGACAGGTTCCTCGCGAATCGTGAATCTTTGTCTTCCGACAATTTACAACCTCCGACGTCAACCACCGTGGAGGACGCCAGCCTGACGAGGACTATTACCGAGGCGCGTCCAAGCTTATTGAGCAAGGCTGATTTCCAGAACCCGCTTCCGCTGCGACCAGTCAGCTATATCGCACTTATCTTGACCATTGTAGCATGTGGAACCATATTGATGTTTTTGTTTCGGAAGTCTACAGATGGACGGGGCTTGGGAGACGTTGCAACTTCGGAATACGTGCTCATTGCTTGGACTACAGCACCGGCAACAATTTTGACCGTTATTTCATGGTGGCTATCGTCCATCGATACCCAAATCCGGCTATCGGCTCCGTATCAATTGCTGAAGAGCGACAGGTGCAAGCGTCCAGTACTTCGTATGGATTTAATGCGGGGGCTGATTCCATTTATCATCTGGCGGGAACTGAAATCCTCGAGTTTTGCTGCCGCTTCAACGACGCTTGCGGCTCTGCTTGCAGCCATTTTGACAACTGTCTCCGCCGCGGTCTTCCATGTTGTCCCCTTTCCCGTCTCGAAACCTGTTGAGCTCTCATCAAACACGGCCTTCATGGAGCCTGCATCCATATCGAACAGTGAAACATCTCGTCTTGCATCTCTAATACTCGAAACAAACTTGTCATACCCACGGGGATCTTACCAAGACCTTGTCTTTCCCGAATTCTCCATGACACCTCTCTCGGCCAGAAATGCCTCGGATAAGACCAACGCTTCATCCGCTATTATCAAAGTTACTGCTCCGGCATTAAGACCGCATTTACGATGCACCAATTATTCCCCGGTTGATATAGCTGCAGTTAATGTGCGGAATAGGTCGTCGCCCAAGGGTCAAGACCAATGGAATGGCATCGTTGTCAACATCCCTTCAGAAAATTGTAGAATCTACGCCAATAGCCATGAAACCGCCTTATTCGAGACCGGAAACCTTTCGGAGACCATATTTGCCACTGCAACTACCTACAACAAGGCTGGAACGATAGAAATAATGGCTAGGAGTTGCAGTGATGTCCTATACATTTGGGGTTATCACGACACATCACCTGGTCCTGTCACCAACATATCGGCAGCTGGTTGCAACAAAAGCGTGGAGCTTGTGGATGTTACCATTTCCCTCCTTGAGCCGGATTTCAGGCTAGACCTTTCTGATGCGCCTGCGATTGTCGAATCAACTGCCAGAGACATCCGCGAAGATAGTTTTATGGGTTTATCTCATTTGGATGGTTCTTATTATGGTCTCGCTTCCTTGCCCATCACAACTCACGGTGTGTTCGACTCCTTCTTCCGGCAGCTTGTGACGTCGCGATATGCCATATCGATTTCCTCAATCGGCGATCCCACCCAGGCCGAAATCGTGATGGATGCCATCCGACTCCAGCATGGCATCATTGAAGCACAGTTTTTGAACAGCAACTATCGTACTGACATGGATTCTTCGAACGCGATAAACAATGCATCAGCATTAGTGATCCCCACTCTTTTCAATCAGTCAACATCCAATGGTGCGTCGCGATTTCCGGCAACTGTGACATACCCATTCGGAAGCCATCGCGTTGTTCAGGATCCCACTGCCACCGCAGTACTGGGGGCTTTGCTTCTGGGCATCTTGGTATTGGTCATTTTGGGTTGGTATTTAGTCCCTAACGAGCCGGCCTTGCCGCGTAGTCCGTCGAGTGTTGGGAGTTTACTTGCTCTTCTTGCTGGAGGGAATGTCTTGGAGCATCTTTACGATGGAGGCCCAGAGCCGCTTTGTTGGGATGATGTCAAATGTCGGTTGGGCAAGGATTCTAAGCTTCATCTAGGGTGGAACTCGTTAAATGGCGATGAAGGGGATGATCAACAACGGTTTGGTATCTGGATCGCTGACTAATTAATGGCAACGGCGCCATGTGGTTGATTTTCCAAAGGCTATTATATATACCTGTGTAGCACACTTTTGGTTGTGGACGGGGTTTGGCGTCTACTGCGCCAGCAGTGGGTGAGTGAAGCCCGGCAACCCATGGGTAGTGGTCAAGATCGATCAATGCAATACTGACTCTCAACATGGTGACATCACCTGCTAAGTCGAGAGTTCAGCTCGATGAAAGAACTTTCTGAAGGCGGGGGCGTGGTGCCAACTCAGCTCATCGGTTCGCGAGGCTGCAGACCAACACCTGCAGATAGGGTGGGGACGGCAAATGACGAGGTAAATTAAGAGGCAGGGAAGGGGTATCGTTGGCGCTTGTGCATAGAGCTGCATCTCCACTGGCACCACCACTCATCAGTCTCAATTCCGCATTGCTGGGTGCGTGGGTCGTTGACTTTTTCCCTGTTGTGTCGGGACCAGTCCGATTTATAGGCGCAGCTTCTATCCGTCGCCGAACTTGTCCCTCAGGTGCGTTACCTTTGACCAACCTCGGAACACGTCAGGATTCTAGCATTCTCTTGTGATCAGCACCACAATTCTCTTTTCCTGCTACACTGCCTCTTTGCACCATGGCCAAATTCGAATCCCGTGCGGCCCGGGCGGCTTTGGCAACGCCCTTCGTCGTTCTGGCCGTTGCCTGCCTGTCAGCCATGGACACAAACAAACTGATCGCTCAACAGCAGCCGTTCCTCCAAGCCGGAAGCATCGAGTTTGAAGATGGATCCATGCCCCTTTTCGACAACTTTTACTGGCTTTCTTTTCTCGATGAGATGTGGCGTGGTATCACGGTCACCTTTTCCAATTCCTACCTCCCCCTCGATACAATCGGCTGGTGGCAGCTCTTTTCTTTTCTGCATGACCTCGGCCCCATGTACAGTGTCTGGTTTTTGGAGTCGTGTCGTGCTGGCAATGTCCGGACTCCGGTATACGCGTGAGTACCTGTACCAGGTGCAATAACGAATGTGCCTAGGTACTCTTGGCTAACAGGTAGCATTTCAGCGTGACCCTGTTCACATTTATTGCCCAGCTTCTGGGGGTGGGAAACGTCGCACCAATGTACTATTTCCTGCACGTCACCTTTGCCCCGTCCGCTACATCCTTGAAGAGGTCTGCCAAGCAGCGTCTCCGCGCAGAGAAGGCATCATTTCTGCTCCCTCTCTTCCTTGCCCTCCACACCTTCCAGGTCATTCGAGCGTTCACCGCGCCGGAGCCCGAGACCCGGCAGTATTGGGTATGGGCTTGGCAGATGTCGCCCCTGTGGCTCGGCGTTGCGAACTCATTGCTCTGCAGCATGGCTGCCGGACTAGTGAAGAACAACATCCTCGCATCGCCGCGCTTCCTCCTCGTCTGCATGTGCACTATCTCGAGCGCTATCTGGGTATATACATGGTATTCTGCCCCATTCAGCATGTCTGATATTTTTATCCCAGACGCGGGAGTCTATACCGACTTCATCCGGCACACTCGGAAGGCCATGCAGTGTGATGAGGTTTACTCTTTTGGAAGCTCTTTCCTCTGGCTCCTCTACATGTTTTTTGTCAGTATAAATCTTCTTCCACTACAGTTCTCCGACCTTTGTGCTTTGACATATTCAACATTGTGTCGCTCCAGGACCCATAGCAAATAACTAACTCATATTAGGACATGTATGTGGCGGGGCTGATCGGAATTGGCTCGCTTGCTGCCTCTGCTTGTCTTCCACTCATGGTGGTTGTAACGGGCCCTGGTAGTGCGTTCGCCTTGGGTTGGTACTGGCGAGAGCACGTCTTATCCTCTCACTAGTGAATTTATGGAGAGTGTGAACTGAGATCCTATTGTCTTCCGAGGGTACCTGGTTAGAAAGTCAAGCTCTTCTTTAAATAACTATATATATGTATCCCTGGATACCTACATAGAAGAATATTGGATATTCTCCTGTTCAAAAGTTGAATCTGGAGTGAATTTGATCTCCGGGAAGGCTTGGGAGCACCACTGCAAGCCGCAGTGGTTGGCACAAGCATAGTGGCGATGTCATACAGGCCCCTGTGTGAACCTGTTTGTTTCTGCTCTTCCACTACTCCTCAGCAGGTGCTTAGTCGACTGAATCGTTGACGAAAGAGGCGAAAAGGCGAAGCCAAAGTGTGATCATCTAGGGGGGTTTCAATCAATCGATAAGATACCGATCTTAAATCTGTTGGTCGGGTCTGAAGGTCATGTTCAAATGTTGTACGTTACTTGTCGGCTTCGGCTCCCTCTTGCGTACCTAGGTACATATGTAGGTATGAACGGATGCCTGACTATTCATAAGAGGACAACGAGCATCTATGACATCTTAAATCGTTACTTCTTTAAGGTGTCTATAACAGCAAGAGATTCCAGGCACTAGGATTACAGTACCGTGACAAAAAAAACGCCAATCGCTACTAACATATAAGAAACCCACTTTTTTAGCCTAATATAGCAGCCCCATATTTAATAAATTAAATATTCTAAAAATAGATATTAGTTTATTAGATTTACTTTATATATACCTATATTTTTATATATTTTTACTATTTTTAATAAATTAAATATAAATTATTAAACTTTTTAAAAATTATAAAATAATTAAGCCTTAAAACTATAAGGGGCTTATAGGGGCTCTTAGTGATTAGAAAAAAAGATTATAGTGGGAGAAGAGGAGAATTAATTGTTAGTATTTTTATATTTTATTTTTAAAAATTCTTTTTAAATTCCATTTAAATTTTAAAAATTTAAATAAAATTTATATAATATTATTTTATATAAAGAATAGTTTAAAAAATATTTTGTAAATTCTAGAATTCCGATTGGCTGGATGTAGCTAATTAAAGTTTAGGAAATTAGTGGGTTTTATATGTGTAACGCGACTTTTGGCGTTTTTTTTGTCGCCCCACTGTACTAACGACTGCATTTCTTCGAGAAGTCCTACCAGCTTATAATTGTTATCTCCCAGACGCCGAGAACTTTTCTAAATAACAGCGTCAGCCAAGAAATGGGCAATACCATTGCATGGATAATGTCGCCATGTCAACTATAGTAGACGATAGCTAAGATTAGGACGAGAGATAACTCCAGTGTCAGAACGCCGCCCGACCCCAAGCATTGAGGCTTTTCTGTCTTGATCTATCAGCCCATCACGAAGAGCAACAGGAAATCATAGTCTATAGAGCGCGTTGAACTACCCACCGTCAGACCTTCACCTCGGAACCATTGCCCTTTGCGTCCTGGTAGAAATGTTTCCGCGCGCAGTGTGCTCTGAAGACCGCGGTTACCAGCTGCCTAATGGGGAATGGTAAGCATCGCGGTACCTGGGATGTTCCCCTCACCGTTCCCTTGTCTATGACCACATTACACGCCCGGCACTCAGGCACTGCGGACCTAATGAACGTCGATCCTGCCGGCTGGACCCATCCATCCGGGCTGCCGGTAGAGCCGGGGATGCACAACTGCCATTTATTAGCTACAGTAGGTATCACCTCGTGCTGGGCTCAGGTTTCTGCAGCAGTGCAGCACTAGGGGTAGCGTTATCAGTGTGGCCCTGGTTCTCTCATCCCTGCTGCTGCTCCCCTGGGCGTGTTGGAGTCGATGAGTAGAACTGAAATGAGCACAATGTATGCACGTATAAGATGCTGCCGTTTCCACAGGCAAGAACATAGCCATGTTTGCGGTGACAACCAGACTTAACGAAGACATACTATTATACCCCCCGTTGGTCCCTAAGCGCTGTTCACTTTGCAGAACGATCCTGCAGGCGGCCTTGACTGGCAGTCAGGAAGTAACGCGGCATCTCACGATGGTCTCGTTCTATCTGATGGGCCTCTGCGCCCTCCAATGGCTGCTTCTCGCCCCTCTAACAGAGAGTCGTCATGTCGTGGTGCGCAAAGAAGGTGAGAGAATCTCAATATCACAATGTGCCACTGGCAAGAGGGCTAATAAGAACATCCAGCTTCAAGACGCGGTTCACAGCCCTACACGATCCCTTCTCTCCTCGACGCCACCGTCGACGAGCTCGCAGAAGGTCTCAACAGCGGCGCCTTCACCAGTGTCGACCTCGTGAACGCGTACCTCGCCCGGATCACAGAGGTGAACAGCACGCTCCACGTGGTCACCGAGGTGAACCCGGACGCAGTGGCCATCGCGTCGCAGCTCGACGGCGAGCGCGCGAGCGGCACCTCGCGGGGCCCGCTTCACGGGATCCCAATTCTGATCAAAAATAACATCGCAACAGCCGATGAGATGAACAACACGGCGGGGTCGTGGTCCCTCGTCGGCGCCAAGGTGCCGCGCGACTCGCAGGTCGCCCGCAAGCTGCGCGAGGCCGGCGTGGTGATCCTAGGCAAGACGAACCTGAGCCAGTGGGCCAACTACCGCTCCGACAACTCGACCAACGGCTGGAGCGCCTACGGCGGGCAGGTGTACGGCGCCTTCTACCCCAACCAGGACCCCAGCGGGAGCTCCAGCGGGAGCGGCGTGGCCTCCTCGATCGGCCTGGCGCTCGCGAGCCTGGGCACCGAGACGGACGGGTCGATCGTCTCGCCCTCGGACGTCAACAACCTCGTGGGCATCAAGCCGACGGTCGGGCTGACCTCGCGGAACCTTGTCATCCCCATCTCCGAGCACCAGGACACGGTCGGGCCGATGGCACGGACGGTAAAGGACGCCGCTTACATCCTCGCCGCCATCGCCGGCGAGGACCCATACGACAACTACACCTCCGCCATCCCCTTCAAGAACGGCACCCTCCCGGACTACGTCAAGGCCTGCAGGCAGGGCGCGCTCGCCGGCGCGCGCATCGGCGTGGCCCGGAACCTGATGGACGCGTCCTACGGCGTCGACACGATCGCCGACGCCAACTCCAGCGCGGACCTAGCCGCCTTCCAGGCAGCCCTCGACGTCCTCCGCGACGCGGGCGCCACCGTGGTCGAGGGCGCCAACTTCACCGCCGTGGAGCAGTGGTTCAACGACTCGAGCTCCGAGACCATCGGCCTCGACGCCGACTTCATCGTCAACCTCGTGCAGTACCTGGACGAGCTCACCGAGAACCCCAACGACATCACCGATCTCGTCAGTGAGAGAGCCTTCACCCAGGGTTTCCCGGCCGAAGACTGGCCGGACCGAGACACGGCGATCTGGGACGACGCCCTCGCCCGTGGGTTCAACAACACCAGCCCTCAGTTCTGGGAGGCCCGCCTCAACAACCTGGCCGTGGGCGGCCCTGGTGGTATCCTTGGGGCTCTCGAGAGGGACAATCTCGATGCGGTGGTGTCGTTAACATCGGTCTCGTCGTCGTTCCCGGCCCTGGTGGGCAGCCCAATCATCTCGGTGCCTCTGGGGTTCTTCCCCAATGGGACGAGGGTGGTTTCGTCCCGCAGGGAGCTGATCGCCACTGCGCCCGGCATACCGTGAGTTAAAATCTCCTATTCTTTCTCGGTCAATCATGATTTGCAAGCGCTGACAACAGATCAACCAGCTTTGGAATCGCCTTCATGGGGGCAAGGTTCAGCGAGGAGACACTGATTGGTCTCGCCTACGATTTCGAGCAGAGGACCCTTGCTCAGCAAAAAGGGGCGCCTTGCATTGTACCGTCGACAGAGCTTGCTGATGTTATGTCTGCCTAAGTTCTTGTTGCTGTAGATCCCGGGAACGGTCTGGGACCAGGCCGGCGTGCTGTACATCTTGGGATGATTCAGAGCCAGCAGTCAATATGCTGGTGCATCCATACTCTAACTCTGTGTCCGAAACAAAAATATGAAACATAATATTGAGGGTGAAAAGAATCCGCAAAATAAGAAAAAGGATGTCTGCCCCATGAATCGAACATGGGTTTCTTCGGACCGATGAGTTCTTCAGGAGAAGACCACAACGAAGTGTACTAACCACTATACTAGGCAGACTCTGTTAGATGAAATTCCTGCGCGAGCGGGAGATTATGTGGCTTACCGATAACGGATGTGTGGGGTACTGAGAGGTCTTAGCCACTGGTCCGAGGCGCCCCGCTTATTATTAGCTGAGATGGGGCGACCTGGTACCCACTCCTTTTTCATCTCATTGTTTTGCGGTTGTACACCTAGCCGAGTCAATCCGCTGAGTTGTTTGACCGATGCTTCAATTAGTAAAAGCGACTGCGGGTGAATGTATCGTGCCCGAACAGAAGAGACGCCAACCCTCAGAGCACGGTAAATACATGCATACCTGTAGACCTGTAGCTGATGGTCCGGCTTCTCAAGATTACGGCACGCGATTTGGAATTTTCATGTATTTAGAAGGTATTGTATGTTTTCGTCTTGGGGAAGACCCGTGGCCGGGGAGTCCAAGCCTCGGAAGCAAACAATAAAATGGTATCATAAGCATCGCTTTTCAGTTCTCGTCCAGAATTTGCAAAGAGCGCCTCTACATGATGACCTCGCTCGAAACATCCTGTATCAACAAGTCAGTGTAAATGTCAAATTGTCACATATCCCCGAATGGCCGGACCGGCCTGGGAGGTACTCACCCGCTTCAACTCCTTGAAAGGCAAGCAGACGCAGTTCTGCACGCGGATCTCGTCGCGGACGCCGCACTCCTTGCCCAGGATGGTCACAGACTGGACCTTGACGCCGTTCTTGACGATGCTGGTGGTGTGGCTGGTCAGGGGCACCGGGGTACCCTCGACACGGGCCCAGGCGCCGACCTTGCAGCCCCAGCCGACGATGGAGTACATGACGCAGGCGTCGTGCTTGATCTCGGCGTCCTCGAGGACGATCGACTCCTTGACACGGGCGCCACGGCCGATGGTGGCGCGGGGGCCGACCGAAACGTTGGGCCCCAGCTTGGCGGTGGGGTCGACGTGGGCGGACGGGTGGATGAAGACGGGGGGGATGATGTTGGCCGAGGGCTCGGCGAGCTCCTTGGAGCCATTCTGGCGGGCCTGCTGCAGGTACAGGGCGTTTGCGGGCACGGCGGAGCCGGCGGTCTTGATCTGGCGCCAAAAGTCCTTGGTCTCGTACACGAAGAACTGCTTGCTGTCGGCCATGTCGCTCAGGATGTCCTGCTCGAGGCGGATGATCTGGCTCTTGCTCTCGTCGTCGTCGTCGTCGTCCTGGTCGAGGACGAAGGAGCTCTCGAGGTTCTCGTTGCTGGCGTAGCTGGCCAGGCGGGGGCGGTCGGCGCGGCGCTTGATGGCGCTCTTGATGGAGGGGAAGATGACGTCTGTGCTGAAGAGGTAGACGCCGCAGTTGATGAGGTTGGAGATGTGGCCCTCGGGCTTCTCGACGTAGTGCAGGACGCGCTTGGTGTGGTTGTCGCTAACAATGCAGCCAAAGTTTGTGGCGGCCTCGGAGCCGACGCGGGTGCCCAGGATGACGGCCTCGGCATACTTCTCGGTGAAGAGCTTGAGCATCTCGTTGAGGGGGAAGGAGCAGCAGACGTCCGAGTTGAGGACGAAGAGGCGCTCGGGCTTGCCCTTGAGGATGGCGTCGCGGAAGTGGTACAGGCCGCCGGCGGTGCCCAGGGCCTGGTACTCGCGCAGGTACTTGATGGAGAGGTTGGGGAAGTCGGAGGAGGCATCCTTGATGAAGTCGCGGAAGACGGACTCGTCGTAGTAGCCGATGAGGTAGACCTCGTGTATGGAGGGGACCTTGGAGATGGCGGTCAGGCAGTGGTGGATGATGGGGTGGCCGGCGACGTCGAAGAGGGGCTGTGGTGCTATTTGTCAGTTGGTCCGAGTCTTGTACGGTCGAGTGAGTCTCGGGCAGGGACGAGGCGGGGGGAGACGGCAAGCGAGCCCGCAGACGAACGAACCTTGGGGACGTCGAGGGAGAGAGGCCGGAAGCGGGTGCCTCGAGATGCGCCGCCAACCTGCGAACAAAGGGATTGTTAGCATGCCAATTGTGCTTGCTTTGGTCTTGACTAGTGGGGCCATTGACCAGAAGATCGAAGAGGGGCCCAGGACAGGAAGAAGGGCTAGTACTGACCAGAATGACAGCCTTTGTGGCACCGTGGTGGTCGCTGTTTGGCCGTGGCCGGTGGGGGATCTGGAGCGAGGACATGATGATGGGGCAAGGCAGTGGAACTAAAGAGCGAGAAGGGTTGGAAGGGTTGAGATAGCTGTGTCAGACCAGAGGGGCAGACAGGAGCTGTGTGGTATTGTGTGCTTGTGTGTCTTGGGGAGGATGATGGATGTTGTCCTGATCTGGAATCCTGCTGCTGTCTGGCCTGGGCTGGCTTGGTGTTGTGTTACCGTGCTGTGTACGTAGTGTTTTGTACCCCTGTACCTTCGTACCCCCGTACCTAGATACCCCTGCCTGGTCCCCCCACCCGGCTTGCCGCCAAAGCTGCTGGTCCCCACAGGAGCAAACGGTGGGGCCCCTGCAAGTGAGCTTGCTCTCAGGGCCCTGACCCTCTGGGGACACACAGATGGTGGATGCCACTGCCTGCAGCTCCTACCTCTCACAACTTCATAGTGTACATAGGTACATGATGCAAGTTGATATCTGGCATGTCTGTATCATTGGTCGTGATATCTGCTCCTTTCCAACTTCAAAATACATTTGCTTTTTTACTTTCCTGACTATGCCCATTCAACTGACCGGTCTTTGGTGGTCCTGCACACCCCTCGAGCATGTGTTGGTTGGCATGGCAAGCCTGCTGCCTCTTCTCTTGTCTCGTCTTCTTTCCTCTCCTCTCCTCTGTGCATGTGCCTTATTGTTTTACACCTTCTTTCTCAGATCTGCGATCTCTCTCCTAGGCATCAATGGCATGCATTTCCTTGTCATCTTGACAATTTTTCATCAGGCATCTCATCTGGCTTCCTCTCCCTCTCCCTGAACTTCACAATGAGCCCTGGGCTGGCCCAGTTTGTACCAACACACCACAGCTTCACAGCCCCTGGCCTTTTTTGCATGGGAGGGCGTGAGTTCCAAGCACCTACCGAAGTGCCCGGCCAGGGAGTGAAATTTACTCTCGAGTTTCCGGTACTTGGGCAGTCATCTTACCAAGAGGCTGCTGGCATGGCCCGGAAGTCCCACCCCTAGTTCCCCCCAGCCACTCAAATTCAATCCCCTTGCAGCGTTTGTCACAGCTCAACGACAGGCCTGCTGCACCCACTTCCCTCCTGCCCCAGCTAGGGTCTGCTAGCTGCCCCACCTCTTTTCCACCACCTCCCTAACACAACTTGACTGTTGTTGTGTCGGCCTGGAGAGCATCACCACTGCCAACGACCCAATCCTTGCGGGTTTGCCATCGAGTCCTCGAGCTTGTCCTGGTCGCCTCCGTGCATCCATCCTCCTCTGCCCTTTCGTTCACTTATTCCTGCAGTCGGTCTGTCTTGACCTCCCAACTTCCCATCCACTCACTCATGTTTTCATTAGCCTTGTTGTGTTCTTGGTGAATTGTTGCCGATACCCACTTGTTCAGAAATCAAGTCTGCTGCTGCTCCTCCTTGCCTTCTTCATGCTCTCCATCCACGCTGCACAGTAACTGCAACTCCCAGCATCTATCTCAGCCTGTGCCAAGCCCTCATCCTCAAGCAGCTGCCTTCTGTCACTCCCACATTGTGTGCATACATCTCCTGAATTCCCTTGCACCATCAGCCGACACCTGCACAATGCCCAGCAGCAGGACGAGGCACATCAAGGCAGAGCCTGGCCTGCATCAACCACCAAACCGTACGGCCGCCACACCTCCTCGACCCTCAAACGCAAGGACTCCTGCCGCCGTTACACCCAGGTCCGTCATACCAAACAGGCCTGCTCCTTCGGCCACATCTAGTTCCGTCGTCTCTCCCGATGCGAGGCGTGCCCAGCGAAGTGGTGCCCGTAAGTCTCATGAAATCTTGCTTCTTGCTGCCCACCATCATTCCCTACTGTTCCCGACTGTTGCTCTCCTTCGTCTTGCTAACATCAATCCCAGCTACCGTGGCCACCGCATATGGCGCTCAGCAGCACTCGGAGATGGGAGAGGACGTCGTCTTCATGCAGGTGCGGCCCAGGACCTTCAAGGAGGATCCCGAGGCCGGTGCTCACCATGATATCCACGTTCCTGAGGCCGGCGATATCGACAAGAACCTGAAGGATATCGGCCAGCACCTCAAGAGCTTCAATGACACCTTGGGCTCTCTCCAGTCTCTCGGTATCCACCATGACACCCCGCTGCCAGAACTCATACTCGTCGGCGACCAGTCCTCGGGCAAGTCCAGCCTCATGTCCGCCATCTCCCAGATCATCCTCCCCCGGAGCGACGGCGTTTGTACCCGCTGCCCCGTCCATATCCGCCTCTCGAGTGACACCACATGGCGCTGCCGCGTTTCCCTCCAGCAGGACTTTGCCTATCGTCCGCCAAATGACGAGCCCATCACCGAGGCCGACGTCACAGAGCACAACCCTTTCCCTCCTTGGGTGAAGCAGACGAGGGATACCAAGGAATTCAAAATGATCTACAACAAAACAGATCCCATCGACGAGATAGTCCGGTGGGCCCAGATCGCCATCCTCAACCACAACAGGAACTACACCCAGTATGTGCCCAAGGACTGGGACCTGCGCTCTGCCGACGAGAAGGAGCCAGAGTACGAGGCCCGCCGTCTCGCCGAAGCCGAGCGCACCACCGAGGCCAAGTTCAGCCCAAACACGGTGGCCATCGAGGTCAAGGGCCCGGGCCTGCCCGATCTCTCCTTCTACGACATGCCTGGCGTCTTCCGCAACGCAAAGCACGAGGAGGATCAGTTCTTGGTCAAGGTCGTTGAGAATCTGGTCCGCGAGTACATCTCTCACGAGAAGGCCATCATCCTGTGGGCAGTGCCCATGAACCACGACCCCGAGACATCATCGACATACGCCCTCATCCGGAATGTCCGCGCTCAGCAACGTACCATCGGCGTCATGACCAAGGCCGACCTGCTCCCACGTGGCGGCCACCACCAGTGGCTGGAGATGCTGTAGGTCTCACCCTTGACCCTGCCAACCGCCAACCCTGCGTATGCTAACTCGAGTGATAGAGCCGGTCAGCAGCATCAAGTCGGCCGCGGGTATTTCATCACCTCCAGAGCGCCCCCGTCGTTCCAGAATGGCGACGAGCATGAGCTGCAGCGTCGAGACCGTCAGAGCCTCAGGGACGAGCACGCGGCCGAGGAGGCCTTCTTCAACCGTGCAACAGGCAGCTGGCCGGAGGAGTTCCGACAATTCGATGACCGCTGCGGTATTGACCAGCTTGTCAAGTTTCTCGCCCAGTCACTCGCCCAGGAGTTCGCCAGGAACCTGCCCGACCTCGAGAGGAAGCTGCAGAAGAAGCTTACCAGCGCCAAGGAGCAGCTGGCCCGTCTGCCCGACATGCCCGCGAACCCCGAGTACGAGGTGCGCAGGAGCCTGCTCAAGTTCACCCAGCAATTCCAAGCGCGCCTCAAGAGCAAGGCGTTTCTCTCCTCCTGGGCAAAGATCGCCGAGACCTTCAGGATAAAGGTGCTCGATCTCAAGCCGCGCTACCGGGTGATGCCCGAAGGGTTCGCTATCGAACGGCCCCTCGGCTCGGGCGCCAGCGACAGGGACTCGGTCTTCAGTGCCAACAACTCCCCGAGCCTGTCTGTGAAGCGCAACCGGCAGGTGTATGATCTTACTAATGACAACGTATCTACACCATCCGCCCAGCGCCGCAGGGGCGAGAACGGCCCCATAAAGGTCGAGGAGCAAAACGGCTCCTTCGCGCACGACATGCCGATGCAGACACCTGGCAACGCGCCTGGGCCATCGTCGGATACAGGCGGTAGGGTTCCCAGTAAGACCCTGGCCCAGATCCGCAACCTGATCAGGTCCGAGCGAGAGGCTGGAAAGCCCGGCGAAGTGCCGTACGACGTGATCGAAAAGCTGTGTGTCGAAGCGGTGGCCACCTGGGAGGGGCCCCTGCACAAGTTCCTGGACCACACCATGACCCACCTTCGCCGAGAGCTCGATGCCTCCCTGAACGAGTCGTTCAAGTAAGTCACATTTAAGGTCTTTCTCGTTTTTTTATTGGGTTGCTGACTGTGGCACAGGGACTTGCAGAAGCGACAGGTATACCGTGATGCCAAGCGGCTGACGGTGGAGTGGCTCAAGGGTCACAAGCAGCGCATCTTCGAGTACCTCCACAGGAATTACAAGATGGAGACTGCGCAGGTCTACACCACAGACGATGAATCCTTCCAGCGACACCGAGGCCATGAGACGCAGATGCTGCGCCGCACCCGGCACTTTTACCGCTGGAAGGCCTACAACAACGACCCCTCCCCGGAGAAGCTGGAGGACTGGGGCAAGCTGAGCGCCGAGGCGCGCCGGAACGAGGAGCAGCGGATCCAGAAGGAGGAGCTCAAGCTCGGCGACGACGAGTACTCGACCGAGCTGGACGTGGCCGCCCGCGTCAGGGGCTACTACCTGACGGCGGCCATGCGCTTCATCGACGTGACCGCGATGCAGCTGACGTCGGGCCTGTTCCCGGAGCTGAACAACGACATCGAGATGCACCTCGACAAGGCGATGGGCCTGGCGGGGGGACCCGTGCCGTACGACCCGGACGTGTTCGTGCGCCTCATGGAGGAGGAGCCCAGCACCGCGGCCAAGCGGTCGAACCTCAAGGCGTCCGTGCTGCGGTTCAACCGCGCCGTGGAGGAGATCCAGGACCTCAACCAGACCGTCATGCGCGCTTCGGCTAACGCGCCGCAGCAGCAGGTGCTGGTGCAGGACCTCGAGATGGAGGACGCCGAGGGCGAGGACATGTACGATGGTGACTGAGCCACACCACACGGAGAGAGGGGTTTCCATGTTGCGGTATGCATCATGACATGCGCTGCTTTGGTGGTAGACGCGCACCATCTCATCAGTAGCTGCTCGTGGACTAAAATCAGAGGTGCAAGTTTATTTTTGTTGAAGGCAGGCCTGTGGATGTCCGGTGTGTCGATTCGATTTCCAAATCCACTGTGGGGTTTGGCATTGGGTGGATGCCGATTTCTTGTCGGAAGAACGGCGACATCACGGTGAAAATGGCTTTTGTAAAAGTTTAGATGGACCCGATAGTTACTGCGACGAATTGAATACAGCCCCCTATTCAGTATGCGATGTCTCTAGGTACGAGAGGAAATGAGTGCAAAAGAATCCAGAGCAGTACGCCTCTGCCAGTGGCAGCAGCAGGCAACACTGCATACACATGTGGAAATTATGTTTTGCCCTATGGACTGGACTGCTTCAGAATCCTGTTGGAAGTAGGGAGGGCGAATAAGGTTACATTCTCACTTGACTGCAACTGATTTTATGTGGCTTATATGCCTTATGTCCCTTATTTACTCCAATTACAACTAGCGTCCTCATAATCTAGGATCTCTCTGTAGGACCTATGTTTGTGATGGCGGAATTCATCCGTGCCGGATGACCGTTCAGTGGGCCATTGTTACCCCAATCCACAAACTCAAGGGGTTCGTCCCTGTCTTGTTCCCTTTCAGCCGCCTTCTTTGAGGCCGAATTCAGATTATCTATACAGTCGCGTAGCATCTCAGGGTCTGACGGGTTGATATCCCTAGGAACCCACCAAGGTTTCGTCCAATTTCCGTTCCACGCCTTGAGAACCGCCCAGAGGGCGAGGAGAATCCCCTCCTGGTGGTGATTGACTCAGTCAAGGAGCTATAATATCCGGGGGGGGAGCGAAGACCTACGAGGAAATACACAGAAACTGACCAGGCCTTGGAAATGCCTCCCACGTCCCGGTTCGATGGTAGAACATTCCACCATACCGAGCTTGACATGATAATCAGGAGGAAGCATCCCAAAAGCCCAATCCACGCCGCTAGCGGCTGCGGCAGGATGCCTTTTGTTACGATACGGCCCTTCGAGACGTAGTCCCGATAGTGACGGCGGCTGTCCCCGTCCAGATTCCGTAGACCGACGGCGCAGTAGTTACACCTATGACGAATCAGTATCAAGCAAGATAGGCCATGGAGCATCCAGACATACCAGCTGCGGAATCTGATAAATGCCAAGCACAGCCCTGCCCAGACCACTATATATGCCATGCTAGACGTAACAAAGAGAAACTGCCTCAACTGTGTTGGGAGGAAGAAAGGTTAGTGGAAGCTTATGCTAGTCTCTATAAGATCGGTATGTCGCCTGGGTAAGCTCACATTGGCCAGAATCTCCCAGTCGCCCCCATGCACAAAGCCAAGGAATGGGGCCCAGCAGAAAATAAGCCACGAAAAGACGACCGCATAGAACGGGACCCCTCTCCCCCGAGTTGAGCCGAGATATCGCAGCAAGGGATTTGCAACGCCCTTGCGTTTCACCCGCTCGCTCGACGCGAGACCATACAATATACGACTGGCAATATACAGTGCCGCATTGCCACACGACAGGACACTGTAGAGCAGAACGACATTTACAAAGTTGGCCAGCCCGCTGACGTCCGCATTTGGGGGCCCGCCAGGAGGCCTGTTGATATTGCAGATAGCCCTGACGACACCGATGGTCGACTTGTTGCACTCGTCAGCGCTATTGAAGGTGTTGAACAGAAGGCTGGCGGGGTCTGCAGTGGCCTGGGTAATGTTGACCCAGGGGTGAAACGACGCCACGTCAGAAACATCCCACGGGATGGTGAACATCATGCCGATGATATAAAAGAAATGCAGGACGATGAGGATCCAGTGGATAGATCTCGATGCCAGCGCGATGTCTCCTATCGTCTTTGCCTCAAAGGCCGCCATCGTCGTGCTTTCGATTCCCCCAAAGCTCCATGCAACTAGGGGCAGGGCCATGCTGAGGATTGAAGTTAGTCCTCAAAGGCTAGTATTGAAGAAAGTTTCAGCATCTTTGAACTTACCAGAATGCCGTCCCTGCATCTTTAGTGTAGTTCTCATTGGGTTGAAAGCCTCGACTGATATCTGAATTCAACTTGTAAGTACTATAGTACCGTTCCTATTTTGAGTTAGGAAAGTCAGAAGTGCCACAGAGAACTTACTCGTCCTCTCACCCGTTCCGAGCCCATCTGGTCGATGTAAGTGACTACATGGGAACTGAGGCGTGTAATAGATACCAAGGTGCTACTCACATTTTCCCGCTACTGCGTAGAAGGCAACAGACATAGTAATTATGAGCAGAACTTTCAGTAGTCCACCTACAGTCTCGACCCAACCAAAATACTTGGGCACCGGGTCAGCCAAAGTTCACGTGGGAAGAGGAGGCGACTGAAAATGTGAAATCACCTTGACGTTGATCGAATTGATCACAATACAAAACACAGGCACCGCGACATAGAAGATGACGCCGATTCCCACGTGGTCAAGTCCCCAGAACTGAGTGATAGAGGCGGCAGTGAGCATCTCCAAAGCGAAAGTGGTAACCCATGCATACCTAATACACGCGTCGATGGATCAGTCAACTAGAAAGTAGTCATGACACATCGTTCGAGCGATCCCATCCGAATAAATATCACATCGATTTGCCCCACCAAGATGAAGACTTACCAATATGAGAACCCGACAACCCACCCGAGCTCATGATCAACAAAGTTGTAGACATATTCAAACACCGCATTGGGCGTAGGGAAAAGCTGCACAAGGTGGCTGACCGTGTCGCCAATGCATGCCGCGATAACGCTGAGGATCATGAACGCGACCAGAAGTCCAAGCGGTCCAATAAGCTGGAGCGCGTCAACGTCCGTCATGTAGATGCCGGCTCCGATGAGAGCACTGAGGACTATGAGCTATGTAATGGTACTGTCAGTTGTTGAACAGCCTTCTGTCGATAGTGTTACGAACCAGGATCTGCAGCCCACTCAACTCTTGCCTAATCAAACACGTCCTGATCAACGCGCGTTCAAAGACCAGAGACCAGCAGTCTTACCGCAATTGACCCGTTCCCAGCGCATCTTCGGCGCTCGCCATTACGGTTCAACTTGAGTTGATACAACACCTTGACGTTCGGTTTGATGCTTAGCAAAGCGTATTACAATTAATTGTGAGGTGATATTGAGATGGGAAAGTCGCTTCTACGGGCTCGCTTGCGGCATGCACAGACTGCAGGCCCAAAGTTGAGACGGTAAATGAGCTGCCGGGGTTAGCTGGCATGGAGATTTTGAGGCTCTGCTGATGCTCTAACGGCTGTGGGTGCCCAGGTGTGGCTGTTCGAGAGCCTGCAGTTCGTCCCGTCTCGCTGATCATGTCCATGAACGCCATGTAGGTCGCATTTGGGGCGCGACAAGGCGCAGTTTGTACCACACCAAGACCAGGGGCCAGCGAGACAGCCGACAAATTCCTTCGAGGGATGCTGGTCAGAGACCGCCAATAGCGGCTGTCTGTGGGCTCAGCCACAGCCGGAAACACATCACCGTGCAGAAATGCAAGACCTGTTGCCAGGTTTCCTTGTCTCCCGGTCCCGAGGTCTTTGGGGGCCATCTCCCTCGCCTCAATTCCTGCCATGGGGACGGCCATGCAAGCCCAGCCGGCACACAAATCGATGCATCTGTTTCCCTCAAGGCAACCACTATGTGTAAGCACAAGGCCAACCTCCCCTGTCAAGATCCAGGCATCCAGATGTATTAGGATGTCTGAATTGTGACACCTAGATTTATTCACTTTCCTCCTCACGAAAAGCTGGCATGCAGCGGGAAGGGCAGTACGCAAGCCTTGTATTGACGACACGCTGAAAAGGGTCACAACCTGGAATTGATCTTCTCATAACTAGAAGAGCGCCGCAGCCGGTCCAGCCACTTTCATAAACCTTCCCGACAGATCGACCTTTTTCTTTGCGCTACATCGTCCTTCTGCAAACTGCCCAACATGGTCAAGATAGTTGTGCCAAGCCAGTACAGCCGGTACATTGTCACCGCTAACGACCTAGCAAACTACCTGAGGAGCCACTTTGGCGAAGAACATGACTTTCAGATCGAGGTATTCTCGGAACTCTTGCTTGAGGCCACCAAGTCACTAGTTGACCAGAAGTGACAGCATACCAACGACCTGTGGCATTTTGACAGTCCCAGAGAACTTTCAGATGTATGTTACGGCACAAGCCTGTCTTCTTCCGAGCCTTGATGACTGATGAACTTGCCCTTTCAGAAACAACTGATGTAAGAGCCCTGTATCGTACGATCGAGGCGGGTTACTAACGAGATGCACAAAGGAGGATGACGAGAGACATCATCCGGCGAAGGGAAAAAAATTAGGAAGGCAGCACGACGGCCATACCCAAGTGGTTAGGGGGCTAATAAGCGCGGGCTCGAGTACTGATGGGTACTGCGGCAGCCGTAGGGACGTACTTGAGCTTCCACTGCTTAGGTGAAGGACTACAGGGGCAGAGGAGGGGAGGTAGCATGCGGGGTTTCCTTGTGTTTGGGGGGCTCTGGGGCGGCTAGGGGGCGCAGGGGATGAGCTGGGCGTAGCTATGTGGACAAGGGCATCTGGGCAAATATGGCGCTGACAGGATGGCAGATCCCAAGGCACCCTCTGATTTATAGCGCAGTATTGGAGACAGGAGGGTGGTCAGCATTGTGCAACCTCGGGAGCGCGTGCTCAACACCTCCGATATTGGCCGTTCTCTGTCTCAATTTCTTCAGGTTCCCTTTCATCATACCTCCGTGGACTGGTAATATCATCTTTGGACTTCTTATGAATCTCAAATGGGTACTATTGGCATAGAACTTATCGAACAGCTGCTTCAGGAGCAAGGCTTGGACTGTGAGGACGTCTTCTGCTCCAAAGGCGGATGCTTTCAAGTAACTGACATCAGAGGTGGTAAGGTCGACAGCAAATTCACTTCATTCACACGTATATTGCTGTCGAGAATCCACTTGAAAGACTGATACTTGGCAGACACCATCAAAAAACTCGAGGTCGACAACGAGAGCAGCTTTCAGAGTCTGCTGGCTACTACAAAGCTTCGTGGAACGCGGGTCATGTGTGTATGACCCATACGGTCGCCTTAATAGTAGCAGAGTTGCTAAGTTCTATCGCGATTTTCAAAAGCTCCATCAGCAGCCAAAACACAGTTTGCAACCTCGACATCAGCGCCTCGTGGACTGTAAGGCTTTTAGAGGCATACGAAGTCCACTCAGAATTTTGTCACACGCTGGTTGCCTTCGGCAACGGTCCTCAGTTTGCCGAAGCTTGTGATGGAAACGGTCTGTTATGTAAAAGATCGAACGGCACATGTGAGTGATAAGGCCGCGGTGTGTCTGACGAAACAGGGGGCAGGGAGCAGGTTCTGACGAGCCATGTTCAGATACCTTGTCGTACAAGCTCAACTATGTCGAACCTAACAATAGAAACGTGAGCGAGCGCTGGTCCTCCAGGCACCTTGGGGTATATCATCGGCACGAGGCAGATTTCGATCTTTACATATTGGTACACTGCAGCAGATCAAGCGCATTGTACCGACAACTTGCGCAAAAGCCTACCCATGACCCGAATGACCAACTGCGATATGTGTCACAGGACCCAGAGAGTATTCACGGCCTCATCTTGCAAGCATATGTCAAACACTGGCGGCCATACCTGAGATCGTGGGGAAATGAGATATCAACAATGGTAGGTCAGGTGAGGTCCCGATCGGGTTTATGTGCACAAACTGACAATCCGATCTGTAGAGCAACCAAGCCCAGGTAGCCCAGGTAACAGAGGCTGGCAAGCAAAGCTATATTTGGCTTCGCAGGCTCAGGTCCCTCAGAGACCGCGTGGATTTAGCCTCGGGACATTGCCTGAGCAATCTTGCTGTCATCCAATCTATACGCCAAAGCAGACAAAGCAAGACGGACAGCAACGATGTCCACGTACTTTTGTCGGTTGAAGGTACCATCGAAAGCTGTGTCAAGAATTCTCAACTCCTAAAAGGTCGAATCGACAACACGATTGAACTTGTAAGTCACCCCAAACCATGTTTTCGAGCTCTCTTCGATCAAAAAACCTGATGAAATTCAGATCAGTTGCACTTTGACAATACACAGCCAAGAGGAGACGGCAAAGCTCGTCCAAGAGATAAAGGTCCTCACGGAGGAGACCAGCAGCGTTACCAAGAAGCTAACACAGATCGCTGAGAACTCTGCTCATAGCGGAGAGGTGATCCGGGTCATCACTATTGTCTCGGCCATATATCTACCAGGGAGCTTTGCCACTGTGAGTGCCCAAGTTCCTAGTGACACTAAAGGTCATGTTTGTAACGGTTTTGCAAATCCAGTCTGTATTCGGGATGAATTTCTTCGACTTTGTTGAGGGAAAGGGACGGATCACCGTTGCCAGGGACATATACATATTTGTGGCATTCTGGATTGGGTTGACAGCCTTGACTGCCGCCACCTTCTTCTGGGCCTACATGCGGGGCCGGAAAAGGCTGAAAAAGGTCGAAAATGCTGCGTTTGAGGCAATGAAGCAGCCTTCAGAAGATCTTCCTGGTGGACTTTTGTCATCAACAAGTGGTTTTGAAAGATCTAGAGATGTCTGAGCAAACAATGCAGTTTGCAGTCGTTGGCAGGGAAGGAAGGACATGCTAGGGCTTCTAGTTGAGAGGAGGTGCTTCTATTTGTTCTTGAAACACTGAAATTTATTGCAAACGCGGAGTTTGCATTGATTAGAGATCATTAAACAGCATACTGTAGCACCAGAAACTGACCCTAGGCTGTAAATGCGTCCTTTTGTAGCCTCATTCCAATACTTCCATCCCTGTTTGGAACAGTCTTCTACATGGCGGAATTTAGGGAGGAAAATATATGACAGGGCATTCATGAACCAATACTTACTCAGCGTACATTTGCGGGCACAAAATATACCCGAGACTTGGTCGTCAGACTGGAATATGTCCCACGCCCAGGAGCTCCAATGGAGACGCCAGCTGGATGATCCAGGACAAATTACCGGGATAATATGACCTAGCTGCCTGCTTAGGAGGCCGCCTGGCCACAATCCTACACAGATCTGCGCCAACTGGCCCGGGGTATTAAAAGGGTTAGATTGGAGAGAAGCCCTGATGCACCATTGCCTCATACATCCACGTGCAGGTGATTAGCATGTGGCTTATCTGCCTTCTGACCGCGTCGATTCCTTTGCTGATTGGAGTCATTTAGGCTGAGAGCTGAGGGCTGTTGTCGGTGTACTAGCCCTGTGGCGGCCATGTACCCAAGTAGACCTGGATCAGACACATGGCCACCCGAAATGTCTCGGCGTCAACACCCCAAGGGAGCTGAACAGAATCCCTTTCCCTGTCCGTTTCCCCACACTGACCTCACTTCATTCACTGCTACGGTGCCCTTGGTCTCCAGGTTACGTGCAGCCTCGTTCATCATCGACGGCTTCATGCTGTCTTTGTCTGGACTACATTCAATGCCACAGATGAAGACTCATCATTATTCCATCGAGTGTGAGAACTCAGTTGCCGTGAGCCAGTTTCAAGTGCCTTGAGTAGGCTTGAGGCATCCATCGCCGTCACATTCCGCCGTCAAGTATGAGTCCACCACCAGCTACACCAGGTCAAGCATCTTTCGATAGTAGGGATTTGGAGACACGCATAGACGACTGCTTGACCGATATCCTTTCAAACGATCTGATTAGATTCGAACGACGCTCTGGACGTATCGGGTCAGAAGATAAATCCTTTTTCTGCCGTTCTGACCTCGAAAGCATCTGGACCTCAGAGCCAAGGCCACTTGACATTGTCTTCGGGCACTTGAGCGAACGCCAAAGGGAAACTCTATTCACCGATCTCCTCTTGTTCGTCTCTTTCCTGGTCAAGGTTGAAGTGCGACCACGCTTTTTCCTCGCTTGTAGGGATGTGTTATTCCAGGATCCAGAGTCCGCTGTCCCGAAATTCAAGGACGATGATGGGCCAAGGTCACAGGCGGAACTCGTCGACATGGGCCTTTCGCCGAGGCAGGCAAACAGCTGGAAAGAACAGTATCGCTTTAGGCCAGCGAAGATTACATTCGCCACTGAGAAGTGGGCCCCGCAGAGGATCGACCCCCGGATCCCCCTCCCGTTCGAGCTCACTGACGATGTTCACTCGGGTGTCATGATCCACGGCGGATTTGGTGACGACAGCTACAACAGTCAATATGGGACAGTACGAGTAGGTCGCATGTGCAGCTTAAGACTTCTTCGAGATCACCCTGACATCGAGCAGCTTTACAGGATCCCCAGAGAGTATATAGAAAACGAGATACGAGCGTCAGAAACTTGGGAGCCAGTCAGTCTGCCCGACCGAACACACAGAAACAGAAGCTGATACCCCGAAGACAGCACCTTTATTGAGAATAGTCAAATCATTCTCGGCGCGGCAGCTTGTCGTCGAAGAAGCTAAGAACATGGAGCTGCTCAAACAGAGTCTCGTGACCAACGTGAATATTTCTATTCACGACGCTATCATAGAGCAGAGACAGGAAGACGACACCGGCATTGTGAGCATCGTGTCACCGTATGCCAGTCTCGGTGACCTTGCCCAATTCCTTGCTGGCGGGTACGACATGGCTGGAGGGCCTTCTGCACACAAGATATATGATTTTGCTGAAAAGTTCCCCGCGGCAATAAAGAATTCCAGTCAATTGAGAATGTCACTCTTGGCGCAGTCCAAGAACCTGGCTTCAGCCTTGGAATTCCTTCACAGCGGATTCAAAACCAATGCAAACGATTGGAAGATCAAGTGCGCTCACCTTGATCTGAAGCCGTCAAATATTCTGATCTTCGAATCGTCTCAGCGAGAAGAAGTGGTGGGCACTTGGAAGCTTTCCGACTTTGGAATATCAGTGTTTGGCGCCGAACACCTGCGAGGCTCCCCGACAGTGCAGCTAGGCTCGGCTGGAGATTACTTCATGAAGTTTGCAGATACGATCCGGACATCCCCGAAACGAATTCCCGGCGTGTACCAGGCACCGGAGATCGAACATCCCCAGCCGTCATCAGATGATAGCAACAGCTCTGAGCACGGCGCAAGGACCAGTGATATCTGGTCATTCGGGGCAATACTTGCAGAGGTTCTGGCATTTGCTCATGATGGTGCTTTGGGGGTGAAGAGATTTGACAGCAGACGAAGAAGCCGGACTACCATAAACGGGGCGATATGTAAGAACGACTTCTTTTACACCAATACGCCGGAGCATATGAGGCGATCATCCACCGGTCTGCCATGCACAGTCAGAAGAGAGGTCTCGCTGTGGTTGGAAGAATTCAGCTCCGGACGCGAAACAGAGCCAGCTGAATCTGGGGTATGTTTTAAATGCTGGGCAGAATGTGTGAAGAACATATTGGAGGTGAACCCGCACGCGAGACCAAGTGCCCCAAGACTTTCCCAATGGATCACGGATCTACACAGGCACTCAAGGGATAATACAACAGATCATATGCAGTTTGGACAGATGGGGCCCAGACGCCCTGGGCCGAAACCCCTGGAAGACGAACCAGAAAATATCTCAACGCCACCGCAGACTTCGACATTTCTTGGGCCAAATCCAGCACTGAAAAGCCATCTATTCGAGCTGAAATTATCGTCGGGTGATGTCATCGACTATGACTTGGACGGCAGTAAGCTGGTATATCTGACGAAAAAGGGCCTCGATATCTTCCTTGTCAGCGACCCGGAAACTTGCCTCGAAAGGGAACCGCTGCAGAGCGATCACATGTGGCGTGGCATCAAAGTGGCAGAGCCCTACGTTGTGATCTGGGGCTCAAGACTTTCACACGGGCGGGAATCAGTGGTGGGTATTCAAGAACCGTATTTGGAAGTCATTTCGTTGACTGGTGTGCCTAGTTACGTGTGTATGATACATCGAACGGGCCGCTGTCTCATAACCAGCCCGCGATCAGAACCATCTACTTCAACGTGACTAGAAGGGTGGCAGTATCTAGGCAAGGATTCATTGCTGTGATACAAAACCACGAGATACTGGTTCTCGACGCCAAGTTGGTCCTCGGAACCCAAAGACTCGACAAAAGCCGCGCAGAAAGCTGACACGGTCGCAGGGACTCGGCTGTAAAAGAGCTTTCGAAGATCACCATGCTCTGGCAGGAGCCAGTGGGGAAATTTGTAGATATTTCCTTCGACGACTCGGGCTCCGTACTATACGCCTGGGGCCACCAGAACATCTACGGGGTTCTCTTCGCTTATAAATTCGAGCAAGGGGGCCATGGGGTCTATGAGGAGATCTTCCGTGGAAAATTCAAGGTAAGCCCAGAAAATTCGCCCCCATATTAGCCGCACTGGGGGGGGGGGGCGGGAAAGGCGCAGAGGCCGCGACTAAAAGAGGCACAGGATGCATTCAGCGAACACAAAGCCATGGTCCTCCCATTCGATAGACAGCATGAGTGCGCAGTCGCAGTTGGACCAACACCAACCCGTTTCTTTCTGGGAAATATTGACCAGCCCCGATGGAGCAGCTCGTCAACGTCAAGAAAATATTCCTCGTCGACTGGCTCAGACAGATTAACCCCTCAGAAGTACTCACACAACCTTCACGGATATAACGCTTGGGCCGCATGCACCATAAATGACTCCATGCTTCTGGTCGGAGCCACAAAAAGCGGGTTCTTATCCCATCGCAAAGTCGAAGTTTCCGAGCAGATCATCGGGACCGAGGGTATACTTTGTTTCCCGTCAAAGTCCCCAGTACACCCTACCCTAGAGACCAAGACACCGTGGGCGCCTCGGCACAACCCGGACCTAAACACAGAAGTGAAGGTGGGCGTGATTCCCTCTAAAGGAGCTGCCGATGGGCACTCGATTGTTGTGTACTATAAGAAGGGTGTCGTGGAGGTTCTGTCGTAGCCCAGAACTGGAGCGGTCATGGAACACCTTGAAATATAATATTCCTAGGGATGGGACCAGAGGAATGATAGGATTCCACCTCGTGCTTGATAAATGCGCTATGATACCCAGATTGATTTTATTAGTTGCAGACAATAACGGCGTTCTGCCTACATATCCTTCAAGGGATTGTATCATTTTGTTACAAATGTGTACTCTGTAGGGGGCAACCGAGGGTCTGACCCGCGTGTAAGTTCTAGATTGCGTGTTGCCGTTGTATTTCCGGACGTCTTCGGTCTGGTGTTATTATGACCCCAGTCGGGACGCGCACACTGGCAACCAACAGATAGCCATTAGGGACCTTAGGGAACTGCTAACTCTGTTCTTAATCTTGATAATTCACAAGTGCTTACACCTTCCTAAAAGAAAGTCGGATAACGGCTGCTTGTTGGTTCCAGGGTTTTTCCAGCCAGTGAATAATTAAAGGCGCATCGGTGAAACTGTGCACGGTTGAGCGACCTCATGCGGTAATCTGTACTTCCTCTCCACCACATTCTCTGTCCAGTCGATTGTCCTCAGCACACCCCAAGACGCCTTCACTTGGCATCACTGCCTCACCAACTCAGCCCAAAAGACGCGGGAGTCACGTGGCACCTCACTCGACCTCAACTCTAAAGTTCCGGGCACCGTCTCTATACTTTCCAGTCAAGTCTTGACGGCTGCATTCAGTCTCTCCATTGAGATCAGTGCAATGTCCACTACCAACGAAGAAGAGACGCCGTTGCTGGGCCCCAGCAACGACGACCACAAGCTGCTCGAGCAGAAGCACCGCCGACGCGTTGTCGCCATCAGCTTCGCCATAGTCCTCCTGGGAGACTTTGGAGCCTGCTTCCTGGACGCGCCACAGACCAGCATCCTTGAGAGCAACATATGCCGCCGCTATTACCAGCAGCACGATGCCGCCCCAGATTGCACGGCTGCGCCCGTCCAGGCCGAACTTGCAACAATCAACCAGTTGCTCAACACATTCAACCGTCTACCAGGCCTCTTCGCCGCTATCCCGTATGTAGCAACATCCTCGCGTTGGCTAACCCGCTCCCTGACTGCGAACTTTTCTATTATATGTCAACCGGGCATCTATAGTATGTAGCTAACGCGTAGCAGTTTTGGTATTTTAGCCGACCGCTACGGCCGTCGTCCACTGTTTGTCCTGGTTTTAGTAGGGGCCCTTTTGCAGGATGCCATTTCAAAAATCGTTCTTTGGCGATCTGATATTTTCCCACCGCACTTAATCTGGTTGTCTTCACTTGCTACATTCGTGGGCGGAGGCGACGCTGTTGCTAGCTCTTTGATCTTTCTCGTTATCGCCGATGTTGCTTTGCCGGATCAGCGGGCAAGGCTGTTTTTTATTCTCACTGCTTGCGAACGCGTTGGGGAGATTATAGCCACACCTTTAAGCGCCTTGCTCATGTCGATATGGAACCCGTGGATACCGTATCTTCTCTACAGCCTTCTCACCCTGATCTCTGGCATGATACCAATACTCTTCCTGCCTGAAACGCTCCAAAGATCGAAGACGTCGCCGCAAACTACGCCAAATGGAACGACATCTGCTTGCGAGTCTGATTCAGGCACGGACGAAAGTCTTCCGACCTCCACGAAGAGGCCGTCGTCGATATCGGCGGCGATATCGAAATTCAGACCTCTTCTCAAGCGCAACGTGATTTCTGTCTTGCTGGCATTCTTCGTCTCTTCACTTGGACGGCAGTCAATGCAATTTCTCTTGCAGTACATCAGACAAAGATTTGGTTGGACCTACGAAAAGGTATGTGCTCGGCCGCATTCGTGCTTGAACACTTCCACGGGTCGAAACCACGGCTTTACTAACCATTCTATCGTTCTTCTATCCAGGCTAGTGTGTTCCTCACACTCCGAGCCGTCATCGACTTTGCGCTGCTCATTGTCGGCTTTCCAGCCCTGCACAAGGTCTCCTTCAAATTCAGCCCAACCCCACAGAGCAAAGATCTTCTCATCAGTCGCCTCTCTGTCGCCTTGTTTGCCATCGGCTCACTAGTCATTTCCGCAGCCCCTATTATGCCTCTGGTAGCACTGGGCATTGCTGTTTTTGCCTTCGGCTCCGGCTTCTCACCAGCCGCACGGAGCCTTGCTACGAGCTTTGTACGACAGGATGAAGCAGGATTGCTCTATACTACTCTCGCCATCACACAAACGGTTGGAGGACTTATAGCAGGGCCTCTGCTGGCTCTTTCCTTTCGTTGGGGTCTCAGTCTTGGGACCGAGTGGACTGGCATACCATTCGCGCTGGTGGCTGGTTTTTTTGCGTGCGGATTTATTACAGTTTGTTTTGTACGTCTGTAATATCTTTGGTTTGGTGTCTGAATCATGCTTCCCCTCCTACGATAGACTCGTTGCTACAGGTTCGCTCATGGCGAAAGCACTACAGTACTGCCTAGACTCATGTTGCGCTTTATAGATACCGAGAAATAGCATACATCTCTGATAACTTGTAATTTAATAATCTTTACGTATGTCTCACAACCATTGAACCATCCTCGTCGTCCTCAAATCCTTATTTGTTTCTTTTTGGGTCTTTTGTTGTAATACGGCAATGCGTTTCAAAGTCATCCAAGGGCTGTTTCGTCCCGCGCAATCTCAGATTAGAAACGGTAGTGGGAAGTAACTAGATTTTGTGTGAAATATTTATTGTTTGCCACCATGTATCGCGATGGTCCTGTAGGAATTGGTGCTGGATGTAGGCATTGGTGCTGGTCGTATGCGGTGACTGTGTAGTCCGGCTGTTGGCGTTCACCCAAGCTTCGGGAGCGGAGGAACATGCTCGACTACGGTAGCAAAAGCTTATCTGAAGCCCGGGCCGTGACGGAAGAGGCGGGGAGAGTGCCGTTGGTTTTTGGTGTTCCGAGCGGGACCCTGGTTGGAACTACTGGCAGCCTACAAAAGTACCCGTGTTGCCGTGCCACTAAGCTGCATCAAATTGGAGACATCGCTTGATTCCTCCTTCCTTTTCAGTATGAGAAGCTTGCCCGACATACGCGTCTGTTGCCTCACAATCCATGCTGCAGTGATAACTGGGTTACGTTTCCAAGATACCAGTAGGACCCACTGCGATTTGTGATATGCCCGTGCCTGTTTGCTTCTGTCTCCTCTGTGTCGCCTCGGTAGGTATCCAGTGGCCCAGGTATTGGAGTAGTTACACATGCAATACTCGCCGTTCTTTTCTCGTGTCTAACCTACATTTCATGTGCTCATTCTGGTGGTCGGCCTCTTTTGTTCTAGCAATCACATCAATTGATACCTAGGGAAAATGAGCGGTCTTTCATTTCAAGAGCTATCAGCTTGCCTTCGTTACTCCTTCGAGCATATCAACCGGGAAAACCACCTTTCTGCGCTTGATGCGAACGCCGGTTGAGCACGAGCAAAAGAGCAGATGGCCACACCTTCGCCTGAACAAATCGACGCCAAGATGAAAGTGAGAACGGTGCTCAAGTCGCGGATGTTCCAAGGCGATTTGGACGAGGTCATTTCTATGACAGACCTAAAGAAAGGTATTATGTTGCAGGGGATGATCGACGCTGTTACGGCCAGTATGCAAAATCTAGAAGGGGGTTGGGATGATGTCGTAAACATGGACATCTGGCTCGCACGGTTTGAAAAAGAGCGCATGATAGTTAAATGGCAAACGCCTTCACTCAAATTAGTAAATGGGTGTTTGTGCTCAGCCGCAAGGGGCAATATCCGAAACAGTTTACGGCTCGTATTTCGTATCTTGGGTCTTGTGTAAAGGGGACTACTTACACCTCTGACAGTGCAATTTGGGGATAAGCGTTGGTAGGGGTTGGCAGACACAGGCAGAACCATACCGGATCCGTTACAACAGTGAACACTTTCAGCATCCAGGGACAGTACCTAGTCATCAGGGTGTTATCACTTCGGCATCTCCCAGACTTATCTCTTCCCACCAACAACCACACCACCACATCGAAATCCTCAGCCGCTACAAGTAGGAGGGACCTCCCACCATTAATTTATACCATTTCGTCGTAGCTGCAAATGTCCCCATACAACCACAGCCAAACTAATCCTGTCGCAAACGCCAAATGGACACCATCCAGTGCAGCTTTGCAGCGGATAAACAATTTGGACCGTCCGTGTCCTCATGTCGCCGGGTGTTTGACTTCACAGTCTTCTTTGAAGAAGTGGTACTCGTGATAATCCCAGCATGCGTCTTTATCACAACTGCCTGTGCCATTCTGGTTCTGCGACAGGGTCGCCCACTGGTAGTACGCCCCGGCCGACTACGGGTACTGAAACTCGCCTCCGCGATCGCACTGGCAGCTGTGCATATCGCGATTCTAGCCGTACAAGCGTCTCTCGCCAATAAGACAACCGCCTCGGTCGCGAGCGCCGTCGTCTCGCTCGTGGCAAGCCTCCTCATCCCCGTGGTTGCTCATTTCGAGCACCTGAAATCCCTGCGCCCATCTGCCCTCCTGATTTCGTTCCTCTCCCTGACCTGTCTTTTCGAGGCCGTACGAACCCGTACGTATTGGCTAAGCGGAGAGGCGGCTCTGGCGGCTGCACTATCCGCGGGCGTTGGGATAAGACTTGTTGTTCTATACCTTGAGACTCTGAGCAAGAAGGGGCTTTTGCTGGCACAGGATGAAAAGATAGCCGTCGAGAGTCTGGCCGGACCCATCAGCCGTACTCTTTTCTACTGGCTGAATGGGTTGATGACACGCGGTTATCGTGGATTGATACACCCCGAAGACCTTGGCCCTATTGACGACCGCTTGCTCACCACGCACTTGCGACTGACATTTCGAGGTATCAACGATCGCTACGGAAGAAACGCCAGCAACTTGAAGCAAGTAGACCTTCCCACGGGGAACGGTCTTATAGTGCTCACATTTACCACCCTGGGTCGCACCTGGCTCGGTCCTATTGCTGCACGGCTTGCTGTGACCGCCTTCACTTTCACACAGCCTTTCCTCGCCAGCGCGGCACTAACATACCTTCAGGCGGATGACCCTACCCCCGCGAGCCACGGATACGGACTTATAGGCGCGGCGTTCCTGTGCTACGTCGGCATCGCTGCCGCGACGGGCTGGTATTGGCACCAAGCATATCGCTGTGCCGTCATGGTCCGCGCCGGGCTCGCCACCGCAATATTCGACAAGCTGCTGAGGGTGCCCGAAGGTGACGAGGTTCAGGCGATGGCTACTACTTTGATGGTTGATGACCTCCAGCGCATCATGTCTGCCATTGCGCGTGGGCATGAGATATGGGCTGGTGTCATCGAGACTGGGTTGGCGACTTGGTTGCTGTACAGGCAACTTGGGCCGTCTTGTTTCGTCATGCTCGGGCTTGCTGGAGGTGAGTGGCTCCCAGCTGAGACAAAACATCGCAACATCTGACATTTCACATAAGCTTCCGGCCTTCTTTCTCTTCAGATTATAAAGAGAACCGGGGGCAGCCAACAGAAATGGCTAGCTGCTACCCAAAAACGATTGAAAGTCACCAAGCAGGTGCTCGACAGTTTGAAGGGAATCAAGATGACTTCCCAGGATGGTGTGGCTTACCAAGCCCTGAAGGATAATCGGGAACGCGAAATTAAAGACTCAACTTCGTTCCGTTGGTTCATGTTGATAAGTAACTTCCTGTGTAAGTTACCTGGAATTGGCATCTATCGGGACACCAGTTCGGCTGATAACATCTCGTCCACAGCATACTGCCCATTGACACTGTCTCCTCCCCTCTTGTTCGGTGTCTATATCGCTACTGCGAGCAATGGATATGAGTTCGGCGTATCCAAAGTCTTTACATCCTTGGTTATTGTCACGCTGCTATCTGCGCCGTTGGTTCGTCTCTTCCAAGTCGTCCCTCAACTCGGCGGTGCCCAGGGATGCTTCCATCGGCTTCACAAGTTTCTGCTACTGGAAGAACGGAAAGAATATAGGGAGGAAATGAAGGTGGATGAGACATCTGGAGCGGGTGATTCACCAATCATGTCGCTTCGGGAGGTTTCCTTCGGATGGGACGCTGAGAGCAACCCAGCCTTGAAGAATATCAGTCTCCGCATTAAGAGAGGGACGAGAGTTGCCATAGTTGGCTCGGTGGGGACGGGAAAGACGCTCTTCCTTAAGGGTCTCATCGGCGAAGCCCACAAAACTCATGGTCAGATAACGGTAGTCCCGTCCACTACTACCGCCTACTGTAGCCAGACTGCATGGCTTGAGAACGTCTCTGCTGAACAGAATCTGACGCAATATGGAGGGGAACCGAGCGACTCAAAGGTTTATCGAGATCTTGTATCGGATTGCGCTTTGGAGGATGTCGTCAAGCTGCCGACGTTCGCCTCTGAATCTGTTGGCAGTGGCGGCGTCAAGCTTAGTGGTGGGCAGCGCCAGAGACTGGTGAGTTTGCAAGTATTCTACCCGATTGAAATGCCACTGATACCTATTCAGGCACTCGCGAGAGCCCTATCGACTAAAAGTGACATTTTGATTCTCGACGATGTTTTCAGTGCATTGGACCAGAGAACGAGACAGCACATAGCCAACACACTGCTCGGGCAACCTCTAGCAAATACGGAGAAAACAATTATCTATACCACTCACGATGGTATTACATTTCCTCATCTTTGCCCCAGGCCCTCCGGCAACGATGCTAACAATCGTCTTGACAGAATACATTGCCAGCCTCGCAGACGAAGTATACCGCATTGATAACACGGGCCATATCTTGCAAATCGCAGACTTAGGCTTGTCAAAGGGGTTGGCTCCGGTCACTCTCATTGAGGGACAATCTGTCGACGATTCCAAGGCTGTTTCATTTGAAGGGGCGCATTCCCGAGTGTCTCCAAGCGGCGACAAGCCGAATCAAGTGGTGAATAAACTTCAAGCACCGCTCATCAGTATGGACAGGCAGGCGGCAAAGCAAACTTTAGGGGACAGAGCCGTGTATAGGACGTATTTCAAGTCTGTGGGCTTGATTCACACGACCATATTCCTCTTTGGCGCCATGGCCTGGTCAGTCAGTTTCAAGTTTCCTGGTAAGTGACCCCAGCGAATGAGGTGTCTGATGGAATTCAATTTTCCTGTCAAGGCTTTGTGCTAAAGTTGACGCCGTTGGTCTCTCCAGACATTTGGGTTCAATGGTGGTCAGATGCCCCCGCCGCAGGCGCCGACCGGCTAGGATACTGGTTGGGAATATACGCGGCCCTGGGGTTTATTGCGCTCATAGTACTGTCCGCCTGGGTATATCATCAGCAGTTCAACGTCATCACCAGGTCTGGCAAGCACCTCCACAGCCAACTGGCCACCACGGTCCTCAGAGCGCAATTTCACGTCATGAGCCAGGTCGACACGGGCAAGATACTGAATCATTTCAGCCAGGACCTCATGTTCGTCGACATGCAGCTGCCCATAGACCTCTTCAACACGTCGTCCGAATTATTCACAGCGCTGATCCAGGTCGTCCTGATCAATGTCGCATCACTCCCAACGCTGAGCGCCGTCCCCGTGCTGCTGGTAGTGTTGTATATAGTGCAACACTTCTACCTCCGGACGTCGAAACAGCTGCGGCTCCAGGAGCTAGAGGCAAAGGCGGGCCTTATCACCAAGATAGGGGAGACGGCCTCCGGCGCTGGGCTCTCCACCATACGCGCTCACGGCTGGTCTGACATTACGATGTCTCGGTTCCTCGAGAAGCTGGACCGGTCCCAGGAGCCCCTTTACCTGCTGTATTCGATACAGCGCTGGCTTCAGGTCGTGCTCGGCCTGGTAGTCGCGGGTACCGTGGTCGCGGTGCTCGGCGCCTCCGTCGCACTCAAAATGTCCAGGACGGTGAGCGCCGGTGCTATGGGCGTGGCATTCCTCAACGCCGTGACGCTCGGGGAGACGCTGACGCAATTAATTCTCGCGTGGACCGGGCTTGAGACTTCGATGGGAGCCATTGCCCGCATCGAGCTACTCCAGCGCCAGACGCCGGTCGAGGATGGTCCGCTCCTGACAGCAGGCCCGACTGGCCGCTGTGCAGGTGGTCGCGGTGCCATCAAGTTTGAGAATGTTTGGGCGACGTACAGCGCTGGCGCAGGCGTGGAGACCGCAGACTCAAAGGCGGAATGGAGCCTGCGAGGCGTTAATTTGGATATCCAGCCGGGCGAGCGCATTGCGCTGTGCGGGAGAACAGGCTCGGGAAAGTCGACGCTGCACCTGGCGCTGCTGCGCATGGTGAATATCCCCGTTGGATCCATCTTCGTCGACGGCGTGGACCACGCTACCATGTCCCTGGAGGCGCTGCGTAGCAGCTTTCTCGTCATATCGCAAGACAGGCTTGAGAGCTTTAGCACCCTCCGCAAGGAACTGGACCCGCATGACGCATTTTCAGATCAGAAGATCGAGGCCGTGTTGCTTGAATGTGGCATCCTGGATGCGCTACGCAATATTCCCGGTGGCCTGGCTGCCCAAAGAGGGGATTGTAGGTTCTCAGATGGTGAGGAGCAACTGTTGAGCGTGGCTCGCGTGATACTGGAGAATGAGAGAGGTATCGGAGCACCGGGAAGCGAAAATAGGATCGTCCTGTTGGATGAGATTACGAGCAGGTAAGTCAAGTCGTCCCATCGTCTACGGCACATTGTGTTGCAACAATTTATCAGTACTGACAACTTGCCATCGGCACACAGTACCGATAAGAGGACTGAGAAAAAGATAGAGTCACTGCTGAAAACCCATCTCCGGAAAAGGACCCTGATTGCTATAAATCATAAGCTTGAGGCTGTGATGGAATATGATCGCGTGGTGGTCCTGGATAATGGACAAATTGCTGACGTTGGCCCGCCAGCGGAGCTTTTGTCACGATGCGAGCTTTTCGCTAGAGTATAGTCGTGTGATGTATTTCAGCTACAAATTCTGGCACTTATCGGTCCCTGATGTACGACCTCATCTGGCAACGATGCACATGAGCCGCCAACCTCGCATGCGGCGGGCATAAAGCTCGCTTTGTCTGCACAGTGATGTGCTGGGAGCCGTACATCTAGAGCCAAGGTATCCATGATCCGGGTCACTCTCTCGAACCTCTTCGCACAGCTTTCAATCAAAAATTCCTCACAGACAATCTGAGCCCCCGCAATCGATCGTGAGGACCGTCTCAACATCCTAAACAGAAATAAAAGAGAAGGGGAACCAGCCCGAGGACTTGGAAAGTACTGAAAAGGTGTGAGTGTGGAAGTAGATGATATGAAAATAAGAGAACATAAAAATTGAACATGCTCAAAGGGTTTAAAAAAAGAAATCTATGTTTGAAGCCAAGTTCCTGTCGATTCGCGTTGATACAGCTCTGTTAGTTCTAGAGCTGGTCCATTGGGCCAGGGGGTCCCCTGGCAGCGCCAAACCCTGGCACCCCCACCGTCGAGCTACCCATGCCTAAAACCTGGCCAGGTACCTAAGTACCTACTCCATAACCTGACCACAACACTCGACTCCGTCACCGTACAAAACCCATCTCACAAAGGCCCTGGCGGCACGTGCTGCCCTGACTGATGACATCTGGAACGGCCAACATGCTTGCAACCAGATTCAAGCTCCAGTGGCCGAGGGCCACGGCAACGGTGGGCTCTGCCTTTCGAGCTCGAGCACGGTGTTTGGGGACGACGACGACGTCGACGACGACGTCATCTTCATCATCATCATCACCAACAACAACAACGACGACGCCCCCAGAAGAGGGGAGCCGATATGGGGATGAGGACCGAGGACAACACAACAGTTCATCTCGTATCAGGCGGCCCAGCAAAGGATCGCGGTCTCCCTACATGGCCCACGCGTACGAGCCAGAGCCCATGAGCTACGTGGACCTCCTCGGCCGGGCCACCTCCTACCCCAGGTGGGGCCTCCGCCGGGCCATCGCCCGTGCCCGGGCCATGCTGGGGACAGACCAGTACGTCGCCGCCGCCGCGGGCGACACGGCGGCCCCAGAAGCAGGGCCTGCTGAGCGTCCGCCCTCGTCTGAGCCGGAGCGTTCACTGGAGGACGTCCTGAACCGCGCCGCCATCCGCCTCTCCTACGTGTCCGACAAGCTGGCGCCGGTCCTGTCCGCCGTCGCCGAGGACGTGGCCCAGCGCCGGGTGCCCAGCGGTAACACCAACGACCCGGCCACGCTGCGCACCCACGCCCTCGGCCGCTGGTACGCGCGGTGGCAGCAGCTGATGTACGAGAGCCGCGCCATCGGCTGCTACCTCGAGTCCGTCGCCTCCAACACGGAAAAGGCGCGCAGGCAGGTCTTGTCCAGCCGGGCCAGGTGCGTACAGAAGGCACTGCGGGTGCACGAGGACGCCATGCGCGACCTGCTCCAGGAGTACCGGGGGCCGTTCGAGGCCGCCGCGTACGACATGGCCGGCGAGCTGAGGGCAGCCCGGCTGGCCGGGGAGTGGCGCCGGGTCTGGACCCTCGAGAGGAGGCTGGCCGCGACCGCGCCCAAGTTCCTGCCCTCCCAGCCCCTCTTGTCGGTCTACAAGGTCATGCGCGATAGCCAGGACGGGGTGATAACCGAGATCTCCATGGCCCGGATGGCCGAGTGGGACGACTCGTACGAGTCCCTCTACGCCGAGGACGCACAAGCCCGGGGCGGCATGAACCTCGCCAGCCGCTACCGGACCATCTTCGACGGCGCAAGACACTTGAAGCCATGGAAGGGGGAATCGCCCGTATACATCCTCAAGTCCCCGACCAGTGACGACATGGAATTCCTCGTTCTGCGGCTCGACCAGAGGATGAGGCCCTCTCCCCTCTGGCCCCAAGATTGGGATCCCATCCGACCGTCCACGAGGCGCGTGGCGGCTGGCGCCAGGTTGGAACTAGCAGAGCCAACGGGTGAGGTGGAACAGCGGGCAACGAACACACCTCCGAACACGAGGCGGCCAAGACCACGTAGGATTCTGGGTGCGCACAAGGCTCCGAAGACCAAGAACCAAGAGCAACAAGGCTCACCCGACGCGCCCGCCAAAGCCGACACGCCCGCCAAAGCCGACGCGCACGTCAAAGCCGACACGCACGCCAAAGCCGACACGCCAGAGTCACGGCAGGGGTCATTACGATCAGACGAGCCCACTTGAGCTACAGTGCGACTGAGCCCATGTACCCAGGTAGTATCCCGGCCGCTACATGTGTGGGAAACTTGTACCAAGGCCCTTGAGGGGCACGGGAAGCCATCATTGATGGCGGTAGAGCATGTACGTGACGGCGGCCGTGAGGGTGGACAGCCACCCCGTCTCGCAGAGGAATCCCCTTTATCAGATATCAGGAGGTGTATTATATGTAGAACAAGCTCTCAGCAACGTCACATGTAATCAGATCCCACTGGACAGGCCAGTGCAGACAGTGGCGCAAATCTGTACTGAACAAGGCTGGCACATGTGCCATCGAGTGGATTCAGTGAATCCCATGTACTCATCGTGCAGCCTCATTTAGCTGGGACATGGTATAATAAGTCTCGCAATGCCAGGATCAAATGAAATATGTGATAATACGGTCAAAAGTTGTGGACGTGTAAGAGCTGCATCCCCGGGTCACCAAGTCTGTAGCAGTTTTATAAAGACACATCAGATATGGCTTGGTGCACTTAGGGACAGGTGATGGATGCATTATCGGCCAGACGCATGTGTTGGGATTCCTATTTCAACTGCACCCAGCTGGCATCCATGGCGAGATTTTGTTCTGTGTAAATGATCAATTAGTGTGTGAGCCGCAAGAGTAAAACGTCATGAGACTGAGAGGAACTTCCCAAAGGTGCATCGGCCAGTGACAGGCCTGGTAGAGTGGGATGGAGCAAGAGATCAGGATAGAAGAGAGATGAAGTTCGCATAGATGCATACGCAGGTCCCCACACGGTTCATCCCAGGTGGGTTATTCACCTAGCCCCTACACGATTGCCCGACCTCTCAGCACCATCTAGTGTAGCGCCTCTACCCTTCCTCCCTTCGGGCCTAGACTGGAAATTAGCCTTAATTAGGGGACCAGCCAGCGGGGCCCCCCCGAGCTGAAATGACGCACGTGTGCTCGGTAACACCAGACAGCTCCTTAGACTACCTTGCTCACGAGACCAAGCGGCCAGCGACCAGCGAACACCAGAAGATGCTTCGAAGACTGTTCAAGGGAGCTCGAAGACGGTGACTAAGTGTGCTGGCACCACCGCGACACCCCACAGCACAGTCCTCGGACGCAGCATCGATGTCGTCCCTCGCCCGGTTCTGGACGGTATGTTTGTTTGTTTGTTTGTCTGTCTGTCTGTCTGTCTGTGTCTGTCGTTTGTGGTCAACGCAGAACTTGAATGCAATCAGCAGGCTAACAACGACCCAACCCACAGCGTTCCTACGCACCAGACTACGTCGGCTTCGCCCTCCTGCTCGTCGCATACGCACTGGTCAGTCCCGCGCCGCCCATCGTCAACACAAGACAAGCCATGCAACGCAATGCGATCAGCCCAACCCAAGAAGCTAACCACATCTGACCCCCTTTCCCCCGCCAACAGATCGCCCTCCTCGTCGAGCCCTTCCACCGCCTCTTCTACATCAACGACCTGGCAATCTCCTTCCCCCACGCCGAGAGGGAGCGCGTCCCAGTGACCCTGAACATAGTCTACGCCGCCGCCGTGCCACTGGCAGCCATCCTCCTGACAAACGCCCTCTCGGGGGCCCCGCGGCACAAGCACCACGTCGCCGTCCTGGGCCTCGCCATCGCCCTCATCCTGACGAGCTTCCTGACCGACACCGTCAAGAACACCGTCGGCCGCCCGCGGCCCGACCTCGTCGCGCGGTGCAAACCGGCGCCCGGGACGCCCGAGAACACGCTCGTCGGCGTCGAGGTCTGCACCGAGGCCCGCCACCACGTGCTCCACGACGGCTGGCGCAGCTTCCCCAGCGGCCACAGCAGCTTCAGCTTTGCGGGGCTGGGCTACCTGAGCCTGTTCCTGGCCGGGCAGGTGCGCCTGTTTGTGGTTGGCGGCGCTGGCGGCGGCAGCAGGAAGAATGGCAGCAACGGGAGGGTGAGGAGCAGCACGGTGGGGGCCGACGGCGGCGACGACGACAACGAGAGGGCGGTGTATGCCCGCGGCGACCTGGTACGCGCCCTGCTGTGCCTGGGCCCCCTGCTGGGCGCCGCCATGATCGCCATCAGCCGCTGCCAGGACTACCGCCACGACGTGTACGACGTGTGCACCGGCGCGCTGCTGGGCTACGTCGTCGCCTACTGGAGCTACAGGCGGTACTGGCCGCACCTGAGCAGCCGCCGCTGCCACGAGCCCTACCCGGATCCCGCGGGGGACGATGGTGGTGATGGGCGGGGCGGCGGCCTGCCGCTGTACGGGCGGCTCAGGGACGAGGAGGAGGGTGGTGGCGGCGGCGGCGGTGGCGCGGGCGGGAACAATGTAGGCATAGAGCTGGGCCCTCTCCCGGCCAGACACTGAGACCCCTCCGGCTGACACTGCATCTTCTCCTATAGCCGAGCTAAAGCAACAAACAAACAAACAAACAGGTGTACATATATGTGGATCTCCCCACGTGGGTGGTTGGGGCTGAAAACGTATCGAGAAATCGTATCAGCACAGGCTGCTAAAACATCTGGTAGTATCTTTTGTCCAGCATTGGCAAAGCCCATCACACATGGGGCCCGGGTTCAGTGCGGTCACCGACGTCTATTGATACACGGGCATTATGTAGTTCCATCTCCCAGGTCCAGGTCATTCATCTATTGGTCATGATGTAGTAGTTGGTCTCGTCCCCCCCCCCCCGCCGCTCTTCCCTTCACCTGTCCTCCGTGGTCTCCTCCTTGGCCAGGTCGTGTTTCTTGAGCAGCGCGTCGATCTCGTCGGCATCCCACAGCCGGTGGTAGATCTTGCCGTCCTTGGTCTGCCCCACCGTCGCAAACTCGATCTTCTCGCTGCTCAGCTTGGTCGAGTCCATCGTCTTGCTCAGCACCTTGACCGCCGTGCCGCACGCCTCCTCCAGCGTGCAGTCCTCCTTGTAGTCCTGCTTGAGCAGGCTCGACGCGCTGGCGTTGTTGGCCCCCGCGCTCGTGGCCTTCCAGCCGCCGTAGTTGCCCGACGGGTTCGACAGGTACAGCTGGAACTGGCGCTGGGGGTCCCAGCCCGCGTAGATGAACGACACGCCAAAGGGCCGCAGCCCGCCGTGTTGTGTGTAGCCCTGCTTCAGGTCGCACAGCCGGCGCACCAGCTGCTCGCAGGGGATGTCCTCGTTGTAGGTCAGGAGGTAGCGCTGGGCTGCTTGTCGGGCGTAGTTGATGAGGATGTTGGCGTCGGCGGTCATTCCCGCCACGGCGCAGATCATGTTGCTGTTGGGCCATGTGCCGCACGGTCAGCATGCGGTTCACCAGACAGGCACGCACACGCAGAAGCGGCTGGGTGCAGGACTGTGGGTAGGAAGGAGGAGAGGACGGAGAGGACGGAGGGGACGGAGGGGACGGAGGGGACGAACTCGTTCAAGATGTACAGCTTCTCGGCGGACGTGTCCTGCTCGAGCAGCTTCGACGTCACCTTGCGCTCGGCAGCCAGGACGATGCCATCCTTGGCCAGGATGCCAATAGCAGTTCCGGCGTGGGAGATGGCCTCGAGGGCGTACTCGACCTGGTAGAGACGGCCTTCCGGCGAGAAGATGGTTGTCTGGGCCAGGTGTCAGCAACGGGGCAACAAGAGACGACTCGTCCTCCAAAAGGGTGCATGTTGCAGCTCAGCTAAGCTCCGGGGGCAGACTTACTCGGGAATCGTATCTTCGAGACATGGTTGCAGTTCCCCGGTCGGCCCAAATTCAACAAGTCTGGAGGGTGTTTGGGAGATCTGGTTGCCTGTCGGGCCTGAGAGGAAGTGTGCTGGTGGGGATGGGATGGGATGATGGGCTGGCGGGCTGGCTGGCGTCGACAGGGTGAGAGTGGGAGGGAGGTTGTTTGGAGAGGCTGCTTGCTTGGTGACGGCAGGCAACTGGAGCTTGACGATTGAGGGAGCTCCAGGCAAGCGAAGGCACGCGTCAATGGGCGACTGTCTGCAGGGGCCAAGCAGTGCTTCACACACTCCAGGTCTAAGCCAATCCTGGTTAGCGCGGACAATGGTGCCGCTGCCTCCGACTGTTTAGTCAGCATTCCTGGTTTGTCGGACCAATCATTGAGCTGCCTGCTCTTAGTACGATGTTGGAGATGCTCTCTTCCAAGCGGCTTGGTGACTTTGCTGCCGTCGATTGTTGCTTCCCCCCCCCTCGCCTCCACTTTTTGTACCAGTCTCCTCCGACCATCCTCAAGAATTCTGCTTCGACTTTTCCAACAACCTCACCAATCCGCCGTGCATCTCTGCCAGAAAGCGTGTCGCAACTGTATCGCGACCGCATCTCGATCTGACTCACCCCGCACCAGAGCTCTGTGCCTGGAGCGTCGCGCGCGCACCGCACGCCACGCCACGCCACGCCTCGGCTTGAGCTTGAGCAAAAACGTCCCACTTTCGCGACAGCGACGCGCATCGCAGCAACGCCTCTCTGCCTGTAGACCGTGTCCTCCATCTCTTTGACTCCTGCGTAGGCCCGTCGACATTGCCTCATCTAGTAGCCTACTCTGCCAATGAATGTGTGACGCTGCCCCGTTCCAAACCTGGCGGCAACATCACCAACGGCATCCTAGTGCCTTTCCACCACGAGGAAGGGAGAAAGGGCAGCAGGCAGTTGCGCACTCCCAGCAGCAGTCGAGACCAGCAGCTGTAGTGAAAACCTCACCAACCTAAGCTTGACACGCACTCCTCCTCGCCTGTTGATCGCCACGAGCGCGACACCGGCGGCACCCCAGAGTGCGTCCAGCACCACTCCGCTGTCGACCACAACATCAATCACGACCCTCGCCGTCCTTTCGCCTCACAGAGACACCATGTCGGAAGCAGAGCCGCGCCGCTCTGTGCGGAGCACCAAGGGCCAGCACAAGGCGCTCGACGCCCTCGACACTCCTCTCGAGCCCAAACGCCGCGGCAAGAAATCCTCAAAGAAGCAGTCCGAGCCAGAGCCAGAGACCGAGGAGGATGAGCTCATCCGCTGCGTATGTGGCGCTACCAGCCAGGACGGCTACGCCGAGGACGAGCCCTGGATCGGGTGTGAAGGCTGCGGCGTCTGGCAGCACAATGTCTGCGTGGGCATGAGCATATTCGGAGAGGACCTGGAGGACGTCACATATTATTGCGAGCAGTGCAAGCCAGAGGACCACAAGGACCTGGTCGAGGCCATCGAAAAGGGCGAGAAGCCCTGGGAGGAGAAGCGGCGCCAATACGAGGAGGAGAAGGCCGCCGAGGAGGACGAGAAGAAGAAGAAGAAGGGCGCCAAGAAGGGCAAGAAACGCCAGAGCGAGCTGTCCCAGGACGACCCAAGATCCTCCCAGAAGTCTGCCATGTCCTCTGCCTCCCCGGCCCCGGAGAAGAAGGCCCCCGGCGCAAAGACAGCAGCTGGGAAGCGCAAGGAGCGCCACGATTCGGCCGACACCACGGCCACAAGAGTGAGTAGCTTATCCTCCTCCCGCGTACACTTTGCACGGCTTGCTAACATCCAAGAAAAGGAGCCGTCCAAGCTGCGCAAGGTCTCCGAGAGCGAGTCTGTGCCTGCTGCCGCCGACTACGAGCCCCCGAGTGACCTGCCCAACACCATCCCTGAGCTCCCCAGCGGCCGCCAAGGGTCTGCAAAGCTGCTTCAGAAAAATCTTGTACACGCCATCAATGTCTACGAGAAGGAGGGCGGGTACAACCCATCAGATGGCGTCTCGAACGAGTCCCGGGCTGAACGTCTTTCGATTGCCGTCGAGAGGGCTGTCCATGATTCTCACCCCAACGTCCAGGAGTACGCCAAGCAGTGCAGGACTCTGTCCGCCAACCTGAAGAGCAACCCGGAGCTCATCGTGCGGATGCTCAACCATTCGCTTACTCCGCCCATGTTGGCCGTGATGACATCTGACCAGCTTGCCTCGGAGAAACAACAGCAGGAGACCGCCGCGGCTAGGGAACGCAGCATGCGCCAGTCCGTCATCGCCACAGAGGAAACTCAAACCGGACCGAGATACAGGCGCACCCACAAGGGCGAGGAGCTTATTGAGGGTGATAGCTTCTCGGTGCCAAGCGAGACAGCATCGTTCCCGCAGCGCCAGGCCAACCGCGAATCATCAGCTCAGGCCTCCAAGGCTGGCGCAGCAGCCCGTGCTGGGGGCCCGGCCGCTCATGCCCGCACGCCATCCGGGGAACCCATGAGGATCGACACTCAGCGCTCACCCTCCAACCCGGAGTTCGATATCAACAAGGTCTTTTCCAGCGTCAAGTCTCCAACCGGTTCGCAGCGGCGCCGACCCTCCGCCCCTGCTCCTGCCCCTGCCCCTTCGCAGGGTCCTGGCGATGATCCTGATGTCGATAGGCTGCTTCAAGACGACGGCAATGAGTCCCCTCCTTACTCACCAACAGAAGAGACGGATCCGGATATCGTGTGGCGTGGCAAGGTCCAAATGACAAATATAGCAAATTTTCAGGCCAAGGCCAAGCACGTCGGCGGGGCAGACCTCTCGAAAACACTGGGCCTCCCCTGGAAGACCTTTGTGCCCCAGGAGCTCGTCATCGGGGGCCGTTTGTCGGTAGCCACGGCGACCGAGTACCTCTGTGGCATGCGGTGGAGTCCCACCGTGGACGTTGTTGTCGCCAGCTTGACAGCAGCGTACGAGGACGGCAGGAAAGATTTCGACAGGATCTACGAGTACTTCGACACCAGGCAGAAGATTGCCGTCGTGGGCGACAAGTCTGTCGCCAATGTCAAAGACACTTACCTGATCCCCGTGGCGGCGGGCACCGGCAACCACCCGGAGTTCCTTCTGAACCTCGAGGACAACTACCTGCCCCAGACTCGAGACGAGAACATGTTGCTCCTCGTCATCGTCTATAGGAATGACGTTGCGACGATGAACAAACTCCACGGCTCTGACTGGAACAACAAGGCCGTTGCCTCACCCTCCGCCCAGGCCAGCGCAACGCCCACGCCTGCTCCCCCAAACTTCTCACACCGCAGCGCGTCGCTGTCTGGCCCCAGCTTCTCCCCGACGACGCCCCATGTCGGCTCCGGTGGCTTCCCGCCACCACCGCAGCCGCAACAGCCCCAGCCCCCTCCCAACAGGCCGCTGACCCAAGAGGAGCTCCAACAACAGGGCGAGGCCGTGGCGCGGGACATCCTTGGCGAGCACATCTCTTGTTCGACGGTGGCCTTCATCCTGCCTCAGGCCCATGCGATGCAGGCAACCGAATGGCACATTGTGCGCTCCATTCTCGACAGAGAGCCGCAGGCGCGCGATAACCTCAAGTACCTCGGTGAGCTCATCGAGAAAGAAGGCCAGGCTAAGCAACAGAAACAGCAGCAACTGCAACAGCAGCAGCAACAACAACTGCAACTGCAACAGCAAGTTGCCCCTCCTCCGCCTCAGCTTAACCCACCAGCAACATTCCCGCAGCCCACACAGCCGGCTCCGCCAGTCCAGCCGGCAATCGCACCCCCTCTTCCGCAGCAGGCTTATGTCCCGCCCCCGGCCCCGGCGGCGGCGGCGGCGGCGACGCCAGTGGCCCCAGTGGCACCGAGTGCGTCGCCAAAGGCCCCACAGTCTGCCTCCCCGCCCAGCACCACCAGACAGACCCCGATCTCCCTGCCGTCCATCCCGGGCATGCCTGCGTCAGTCCACCAGTCATACCAGGCTGCGCAGGCGCAAGCCCGCGGGAGGGTCACGGAATAGAGAGCAGAACCTACCGGTGGGCGAGGTCAGAGAGTTTCGAGAGGTTCTGGTCTGAACCGAGGGACCCCGGTCTCCTTGCCGTCCATCCCGGGCATGCCTGCGTCAGTCCACCAGTCATACCAGGCCGCGCAGGCACAAGCCCGCGGGGGGGTCACGGAATGGAGAGCTGAACCTACCGATGGACAAGATCGGGGAGGTTCTAGTCTGAACCTGCCGGACCAGCAAAAGCCCCGTGGGGCTGTACGACGAGGGCGGGGGTCGACTCGACAGCGGCGCGGACGATGATTGTTTGATGAGGATGTTTTTGTTTTTTTTTTAACAAGGGAAGGCGGGGGTTCTCCCCTGCAACAATGACGCTGCAGGCGATGATGCACCTCAGGCTTAGCCATTATTGATTCAAATGGAAAGTTAAAAAAAAGATTACAAGGGAAGGAAAGGGCGCGGAACAGAACAGAATATCGAGTGGTCTATTTCTTGATACCAGTGTTGGAGTTTTCTTACAGTGCAGTTTTGCGTCGACACCGGCCGAACGAGTGGTGGGGTGCAAGGGGAATGGAAAAGAAAGGCGTTGTTGTTGTGCCTGGCCTTTCTGTTGTTTCAGGAGGGGAGAGGGAGCTCAGATGGGACCACCAGCCCGAGGGCTCTGCGGTGGTTACCATCAACCCCCCAGTTTAACTGTGGACGTTGTTCAATGTTGTATTTGTATGTACAAGCCCTTGTGCGAAGCACGCACTACGGGCCCTTAGGGAATAGGCACTACTATGGAATCGACATTTCTAGGTACCTTAATCATGGTGGTCTGTGACAGAGCGTTCGTAAGAGAAATTTAGTTGGTAAGGTATGACGAGCCTTGCCTGCAGAGAAACTACACCACATGTCAGAAGAAGCAACAGTCTGGTAACCACAAGTAGAAGACCCGAGTCAAGATTCGATGCTCGGAATTTACATTTACCCTTCGTTCATTCGGCTTTGGGGGTGATTCAATCCACGACTTGAAGGCGAGCACTTCGGGCGTCGTGAATCAGCTTGTGGCCTGCCTCCAGATGTCATGGCTGCCATCGGCACGGGGTCAGATCATCCAACGTCTGATGACACGCGGATCAGGTGAATCATGGTAAACAAACACGCTGGCCACCATATTGTGCTTCTAGACAACACCGCTGGGATGACTGAGACACACCCCGGGCGATCCCGCTTTAACAACGTCGTCCGCTGATCACGGCAGCCTTGCAGAAGCGCTGCTAATTAACCCTCGCGCCGTAATCTCACGCTCTCTTTCTTCCCTTGTCTCGTTCTTTTTACTGATTGCCTAGGTGATGACTGGCTGGACCTCTGAGGTTCAGAGTAACAGCCCCGGCTGTACAAACCTTGAACAGCACGAGGCGGGCCGGCCCGGAGGGTGGAATCCTGTTGTCTGTGGGGTGAGACGGCGGGACGTTGACCGACGAACTGCCCCGGCGTGGCATGGCGTGGGGTCGCATACCCGTCAATGGGATTGTGGTTGAGCTGGTGGAATCTGGACCTCGGCATCATGGGCGAACGAGATAGTCGGTCTTATTGAGGGGGGGGGGGCATCGGTGTCTTGAGGGGTCCTGAGTGGACGTGGACTCGGGCGGCTTTTTGCAGAAGATTGATGAGAGAGGAACTTTGGAAAATGAAGGAAGAGCCAGCCAGCCAGAACCTGGGGCTTGCGGATATTATTCTTATCTTAGAAACGACAGCAACGAGAAAATAGATCTCTAGAGAGCAATGCAAGTCTTGTTAAGATCAATTGTCTGCATGGCACCCCGGATGGGCGATCAGACCCGGACGTGACTAAACGCCCATCTCGGCCAATGGCTTTTGTCGCAGGCTTCAGTGACACAAAGCTCGCCGTGACCTTTCTGTTGCTGTTGAGATCCCGCGCTCACATATAAAAGGGCTCCCCGGAAAGCCCTTTCCCCTCGCACCGCCGACAAGACCGTCTCCATCGCGAGTAACATCCACACGGCTTTGTAAACACATCAAGCCGCAACACCTCCGACTCTTCCCCCCAAGATCTGGGCACTTGAAACGAGCGGCATATCGCCGTGGCAAAACCACCCTTCAACTCAACCAAACCAACAGCAACCTCTACTCCAAAGCTTTCCATAGGACCTCCGAATGGGGTACGAAATCGAACGGGATACCATTCCCGATAGACTCCTTCTATCTTCTACCATTGAGGAGTTACGGCAGCAGAAAGTGAGGCTATGGATTAAGGCACTCGTCCTCTCCATTCTGGTGGGCGTTTTGGCCATTTGTACAACAGTGCTGGCGGTTCTCTACGGTAAGAGGCTCTCCATCTCAGCTGATGGCATACACTGGACTGACAATATCCATACACAGCAACGAAGACTTATGCCGTCTCTCAAGCACAACCATCAACAGGTGCTCTGGCGACTGGAATTCCTACCGTCACTGTGACGGGGGATGATGTTGCAGCAACAGTCACGAAAACGATGACCAAAACACGTGTGGAAACGACTACTGAAGCAGCCGTGGAAACGACCATGGACGAACCCTCGATCACACATGTTTCAGTTTCCACAAAGACACTCTGGCTTACTGCTGATTCCGAGCAGCCGACGCCCAGCCAGTCACGGTAGGTCAGCGCCTTGGTCATTTTCAAAGATGCCAGTATCCTCGCTTTCAGATGCTAACATGTTCTCCCAAGGCCTCGGAGGGTATGCTCCCCCGGCAAATTGACCGGACCGAGACTACTGGACGTCGACAAGGATTATTACTTTGGGCTGATGAACTCTACCTTGCGGGGAATACCGAGTGTGATGGCAGGCAGGGCCCGCGACGACCAGGACATCTATGCATTGGCGTTGAAATCAATGTGGCGATGCGTAGAGAATGGCAATGTCATCTTCATTGCTTACTGTCAGGGAGGCATCACCATCGGTGACAGATGTAATGACGGACTGGCCGAGGTGCCACCAAACGCCTAGCGACAAAAGCAATCATGGTCCTGGGGTTAATCGAGTGCACAGTTAGATAGAGAATGGGTTGATAATAGGCTCAATGGATTTTTTGGAACAAGCCATTGCCGTGCAAAGTGAATATTCGCAGCCTTCGTACATCATTCCAGTCCCTTGTCATGAATTTCACTGAGGAGCGACAAATCTCACAAAAAGGGTGCGTTTATTGATGCTCATTCGTAACATACCTATGATGACAAGATGGATGATCATCTATCAGCCCGCAATTTGAAGATACCTGACCCGTGCGTCGGCCAGTGTGGACGGCGTGCGTAGGTAATGAGAATTCTTGAGGTTGCTGTGTGGTTGTTGGTGGACCTCTGCCCATACAACCAACGCAAAAAGGACGGCGATACTCATCAAACACCAATTTTGTAAAGTTAGGACATATGAAAGGGAAACGCTGATGTCAACAAGTGTCCAGGGTTACAGAGTGGGGTTTATAGTCTTTGTACACCTGTCATTGCGGGACGATTCCTCTACAGAAGTCGGTCCGGCCCGCCTGATGTCATACTAATAGTTACACGTCTGTCTTGTATGGGTGTACATTTTATACATGTAACTGTTTTCTGATATTTGATTATTTACTTTCTATATTCTTTGGTACTGTGCATCTTCTGACCAAATCATGTTGCTTGTAGCTTGATCTTAAAAGAAAAGTTGTGAAAAGAAAAGTTGTGAAAAGAAAAGTTGTGAAAAGAAAAGTTGTGAAAAGAAAAGTTGTGTTCCTGTCAGATACTGAAGACGATCACACCTTGTGAATACTAAGAGCAAAGATCTATATATCCTCTTGACTGAAATGATGTCACGGCAGCTATCCTGGTCCAAGCAGTCCCTGCGAGAGGTGTGTTGAAAAGCAAATGCACGCTGTGACGGCTCTCGGGTACTCAAACAACACGAACTGAGCCTTTTTTATGTTGTATGACTGGTTTCGATGGTTTCGCTTCTACTCTGTATGCGTTCGAAGCCAAACGCGGCTGTGTGATATATATGAGGTGCTTCGTAAGCTGACTTGTTCGTAGCTTTGTATGCATGTTTCGAGTATCGCTTCACCGAGAGGTAGTCTATGTATTTGATTAAATGTAAATATCATAATAAATATTCCAGTAGAGTAAATATGGGTGTAGTCATGAGTCTCTATGTAAAAAAGATGAAGCGTATGCCCTATTCCTCTTACCCCGCTGTAATTTCCCCGTTACCTCAGCCTCTCTTCCAGGGCTGGTAAGGATCTACGTACTTTTCAATGCGCACACCAGACCAACCAAAGTTGGCCAGTCGGGCAAAACGCAGCGTTCGGACGACTGACATTTTTGCCCCGGCCAATAGACGGCCCCCAGAGCCAAATAAGAAACAGCGCTTGTGAAGTGACTTCTCGCTTACATGTAGAACCAGCTTGGCACGAAAGTCACCTTGCAGGGGCCATGCTGACGTTTCTCCGCGATCACATATCACACCCTAATAATATTCCTCATATGACATGCGCGCATGAAAGACGGCGCAGCAATGTGGGGATCGGACAAGGAGCACGCGGCTGAAATTCATCAACCTCTGGTCCAGGGGCCTCCTTTTGCCCCCATGTCACATGTTGCACCGCCTGCCAGAGTGGTAGCCCGGCCAGATGCTGTTTATCTGGTTCCAGGCCCCCACCCAGATTACCCGTCTTATCCTGAAAGCTTGACTAGATCCCGGCGCCGATCACTTGTCCTGGGGGAAATGACAGGGCTGGTGCCAGAAACGCCGATATCCACCACGACCACTGCACCGACTTCTCACCCGCACCATTGGATGGGAGCGCCCGGCCTTAATTCCCCATCCTGGCCACTCAACGCCATCGGTTCCCTCTAGAGTCGGCACGGGGGAGACACCAGGGGCACACGCACACGATAGCTGTGCCGTTATTGTCTTTCGTCAAGCTGCAACACGTCAACAATGACGAGCGGGCGGGCTGTTTACCTCGTTGGGGCACGGCCTGAGATGTTCTCAGGATGGCTTGGTTGGTCAGTCTTCGCCCCTGCCGACAGGCAGCCACCTTGCCTCCCCGAGGGTCCCTGAAGCTGAATAGATTACTGTAGGCAGGTACTTTCCAACGGATATGACCTACTGGATTGAGGTAGCCGCCCTGAATGCGAGCTGCCGTGGGTCCCAGGGGCACGAGAAATCGGAATCGGCACCAACACCCCTGCCACAATCTCGTCAGCCAGCGAACCGCGTGTTGTGCCGCCCACTCCTCTATTCCCACCGTGACGTCCTACCTGGTGTATATATATCGAGCTTGGCATCTCTCTTGTACCTCTGCCTGTTTGTGTTTCCTGCTCGTCGTTTCTAACCATCACTTTGCCATCCGCAGTTAAGGACGGATCCAGGTTTCCTTTTCCCTCTTTCTATTCTCCTCCTTCTTTGATCCCCACTGTTCTGCAATACGCACCTCTTCCATTCTCTCACACAGCTTCCAACTTCTCGGAAGCTCCTCACCCAGGCGGTGGTCTTACTCAGCCTTTTGACCTCGTGGTCGTCCATCCCTACATCCTCACATAACCCTCTTTTCCTCTCTCTCTCACACACAATGCAGACCTTCGGAGCGTACCTGGTTGCGCTGCTGGCCGCCAGCGCCGAGCTCGCCTCGGCCCTGCCCCAGCCGATGGACAGGGTCAGGACCCGCGGCGGGCAGACCCTCTCCGTCCCCGTGAAGCGCAACACGGTCTACAAGAAGCACCCCGGCGTGGCGATGGCCAAGGTGTACGCCAAGTACGGCAAGGAGCTGCCCACGCGCCTCAAGACGCTCGTGGCGAACCACCGCGCGGGCGTGGGCATGGCGCCGGACGCGGGCAAGCGCTCCGAGACGGAGGGCTCCGTCGCCACGTCCCCCGAGCAGTTCGACTCGGAGTACCTCGCCAACATCCAGATCGGCACGCCGCCCCAGACGCTGCCCATGGACTTTGACACGGGGTCGTCGGACCTGTGGGTGTTCAGCAGCGAGACGTCGAGCCAGTCCGTGTCCGGGCAGGCCGTCTACTCGCCCGGCAAGAGCTCGACCGCGACCAAGATGGCCGGCGCCAGCTGGAAGATCAGCTACGGCGACGGGTCCTCGTCCAGCGGCAACGTCTACAAGGACATCGTGACCATCGGCAACCTGAGCGTGCAGTCCCAGGCCGTCGAGTCGGCGACCCAGGTGTCGTCCGAGTTCACGGCCGACTCGCACATGTCCGGGCTCGTGGGCCTGGCCTTCAGCTCCATCAACACCGTCTCGCCCAGGGCCCAGAACACCTTCTTTGACAACGCCATGCCCAAGCTGTCGCAGCCCGTCTTCACCGCCGACCTCAAGCACGACGCCGAGGGCAGCTACAACTTTGGCTACATCGACACCGCCGCCTTCACCGGCGACATCTTCTACACGGACCTGGTCAACAGCACCCAGAAGTTTGCGGGCTTCTGGTCCTTCGAGTCCACGGGCTATGCCGTCGGTGATGGCTCCGCCACGTCGACCTCTGGCTCGGGCAGCACTGGCAGCACTGGCACAGGAAGCACGGGCACAGGAAGCACTGGCACAGGAAGCACTGGCACAGGCAGCACGGGAAGCACCGGTTCTGACACGGGCTCTTCTTCCGGGTCCGGATCGGAGTCAAGTGGCGGCTTCCCCGGCTTCCCCGGCTTCGGCGGCGACAGCAGCGGCTCCTCAGGCTTTGGCGACCTCGGCGACCTCGGCGACCTGGGAGACCTTGGCTCCCTGTTGGACGGCCTGGCACAGTCGCAGGAGACGGGCAGCAGCAGCAGCAGCAGCAGCAGCGGTGGTGACTCCGTGTGGGTCGGCTGGTTCAACAAGCTGATGCGCAAGAGCAACACCAACAACAAGGCCCACGAGTCCCGCGCGGCACCCCCGACCCGGCAGCACGCCCCCGTGACCGCCGGCAGCAAGCGTGCCGCGACCCTGACGCAGGCGTCCATCACGGGCATCGCCGACACGGGCACGACGCTGCTCATGCTGCCCGACGAGGTGGTCAAGGCGTACTACGCGCAGGTGGACGGCGCCCAGGACAGCCAGCAGGACGGCGGTTTCGTCTTCCCGTGCGACTCCAAGCTGCCCGACTTCACCTTCGCCGTGGGCGACGGCCAGATCACCGTGCCCGGGTCCTACATCAACTGGGCGCCCGTCGACACCGCCAGCACGTCCTGCTTCGGCGGGCTGCAGTCCGACGCGGACATCGGCATCTCCATCTTCGGCGACATCGCCCTCAAGGCGGCCTTTGTGGTCTTTGACGGCGGCGCAAAGCGCCTCGGCTGGGCTGCGAAGCCGACGTCATAAGGTCCTGGCTGTGTTGTGATGTGATGTGATAGGCTGCGCGGTGTGCCATGCTTTCTCTTACCATGCTTCCCCTACACGGCATGCTGAACTCAGTGTGTAGTCGATGGGGGAAACGATGGTATGTATGCGCATGTGCGTGTGTCCGTGTCCGGTCTGTGTTACATCGAGCAGGCCGTAGTCCCGACGTCCCGAGCGGTGACTGCTCCGAGACGCTGACCTCTTCTTGAGTTTGACATTGTGGAGGGAAACCAACGTAACAAGGTTGTTTGGGGTATGTGCGTGTGCATATCCGTATAGCCCTGCAAGCCCTGGTGCGTCTTCCGTCCATGGGTTTTTGGGCTCGCCCTCGGATCGTGCCCTTTCTCGCTGCCGTAGTAGTATTCTAATACCGTGGCGTATGTACATATTTATTCAACAATACCATAACTATATGAACACCCTTTTGCCAAATTTCTCGAGATCACCATTCCCGATGCCTTATTAGTCATGACCTGCTGCTCTTCGTCCAAGTTTTCGGTGTCAGCGATGTGAATGACGCCATCCGACTCGACTACGGCACGTCAACAAGCAAATGCGACTCTATCAATAATACGTGGAGGTGATCCGCCATAACTTGGGGCTAGCGGAACTTTGCACCTGGGCTGTCTCAAACTATGGCAGCTTTCGCCGATGCATCTGCCATCAAGGAGCCCGTTGACACCGTGCTGTGGGCCGAGGGGGTATGCGTATTTCCATGTTGGTGGTGTTGGCCATGGGTGAGTCTTGTCCCGGGAGAAACAAGAGTCGGTGAACGGGCTTCCAGTTGATGCTCGTGCAGGGCGCCTGGGCTCAGGAATGCCAACGCGGATCGGACGCCTCAGTACTGTGTACCGGATGCCTATTACGGATTTGTCGTCCTTATTCCCGGGGACGAGCAGAGGATGCCCACAGGTTTTCCGCGGCCAAGGCAGCCCAAGGGCCGTCCTGTACTGGAGATTGATCAGACCAAGGTCGCGCTGCGGAAGTAAGTACCCTCGACTCATCTGGGCTCAGGGAGGGTGACATTTCCCGACTCGAGCACGATCTCAGGGCCTAGCATGCGATCACGACGGCTCCCACGGCCTATCACAGGCTGGCAGCGAGGGGCCCCGGGTTAGGATGACCCCTTCACGTCCTCCCGGGCCACGACGATCACCCCCCCGCGACGAATGGCAGGCGATTCGACACGACCCTCGGCCGGTGGAGCCCGCACCAGAGGAGAAAAATGAGCCTCTGCGGCACCGCACACTAGAAGGAAGGTTTTTTCCCGTTCGACGCCTTCCACGGGCTGGTACCACGTACAGGGCGCAACCTGCATTGGGCCGGCATCGTCGTTGCTCAACCACCACTGGGTGCTCGCGGCTGCATGTCGGTAAAAGCCCGACCATCGACCAGGCAGCCGGGCGAGTCATGCTCGTTGTATCCGATGCGTCTAAAGGTGCCCCGGCGATCTCCCCCTTCGGATCTGATTGACTGTTTCGCGCGCAGGAGGAGGCCGGACATGCTGTCAGCCTGCAGCGGTCACGCATTTCCCAGGAGCAAAACAAGACCTTGATCTCGCGCAGCTCAATTCCCGTCTAAGTCCCACATGGGACATGTGGGACCCTGTTTCCTGCTGACCATGTGTCGACCCGCTCCTGTTCCATCATCCTTGATGTCCGTCCAGACAAACATCCAGCCGTTCATACATGAGGGCCCTTACCGCCGCCGCCGCAACAGCAGCAGCATCATGAGCCTGCTTGAATTTGCTTTCCCTGTCACCCAGTAGAGAGGGTTTTGTACCTGCCGACACTCCGGGGCTCGGCCTCAGGACCAGTGGACCCCAGATCTAAAGCCCATCCTCTTGGGGGCACCCAGATACACGATCGGATGGCCATTTCAGACCTTGGGATCAGCTCCGGCGGACTCCCCCCGGGCCCGGCAGTCACAATAGTCGAATGCTTCCTCGCCGTGGCCTTCTACAATGTCGTCGAGCTCAACGTCATCATCTACAGCTCCTTCCCGCGGCGGACCGGCCTGTACTTCTGGAGTTTCGTGGTCGCGACGTGGGGGATCGCCGTCTACTCGGTCGGCTTCCTCACCAAGGACCTCAGCTTCATCCGCAATGGCTTCATCTATGGCTCACTCATAATAGTCGGATGGGTCTGCATGGTGACGGGGCAGTCGATGGTGCTGTTCAGCAGGATGCACTTGTTGGTCAGGGATAAGAGGATATTAAGGACAACGCTGGCCTGCATCATCATCAACGCCATCATCAGCCACGTTCCTACTTCAGTTATGCTTTACGGGTCGAACTCGCGGCATCCGCACCGCTGGGTGGAGCCCTACGCCATCATGGAGCGCATACATGTCACCCTCTTCTTCCTCCAGGAATTCGGCATATCCGCAATATACGTTATCGCCACCATGAGGCTTCTCAGGAACAAGTCATGGCCGTCGTCACCAAAAGCGTCCGCCACCGGACGTCGTTTCCTCACGCATCTCATCCAGATCAATGTCATGGTCGTTGTCCTGGACATCACGATACTGGCTCTGGAATACGCAGGGCTGTACGTGATACAGACGGCCTACAAGGGCATGGTCTACAGCATCAAGCTCAAGCTGGAGTTCAGCATCCTGAACTCGCTCGTCGACATGACCAGGGCGTACAGGAATGCACGCATCGGAGCGCCAACCGGGGGGGTATTCGAGCCCGACACCGGCAATGACACCAACGCGATGGGAAAGAACAGCGCAGGGACCAGCTGCTATGCACAGCTGACCCAGACGGTTGACCACGACGGGATAATCAGGTATACGGCTAATAATCACAACATGATGCTAGGACATCACGCATACGTTACTACGGGCAACGGGATCGAGCTGCCGGGTGCCATCCACCAGCGGCGAGGCCTCGATGGGGCTGGGGCGGGAACCGACACCAGCGGCGAGTACGGTGACAGCATGCCTGTGCCGACTCAGTTTGTCATACGGCGGGACCGACGGGAGGAGTGGGAGGAGAAGAGCGACCTGGAAGAGCTTGTGCTTGGTAATGATATCCTGCGGTAGTGCTCACGAGCACACCGGCTTCGCATAGACAGTGATGAAGAATGAACGCTTTGACACCTCTGTCGCACTGCCCCTGGCCGTGGTCCTCAGTACGTACCTAGGTGCACGTTCTGCTGGTTCTCACGTTCTCGAAAGCAGCTACCGGGCATTGTTCCTTGGTAGAATCCGCATGAGTGCAGGTGCTCCGACGTGCCACGCCTGGGCGGTTTCTCGTCCCATCCACTACATGATGCTTCCCGTCTCGAATCCGTGCGCAGGATGCACTTGGTAAAATGTGGGCGTATTGGCCGGATCGGCGGCATTTAGAGCTTCATATTTTCCACGATAGGCTATACCGCTCCAGATTCACGGACCTTCCAGCACACGCGCAATTCGTTCACAGTCATCCGCACATCCTCCGTGAAGCGACTGTCTTGTCGGTCGTTGGGGTACTGGCAAGCGGCCGGGAGCTCTGAACCGCAGTGCCCCTGCCAGAGTCAAGCCAGCCATGACTCGTCGCAGCTTGAGTCAACAAGTTCTTGGGCTTCAATGACGGGTGATCGGTCCATCAGGCCATCTCAGCCACCTGGGCAGGTGGATCAGTGGTGGCAAGACGGGCGTGCCGCCTCGGCAGATGGAGGAGTATCCACCAACTAGTACTTTGTAGGCTGGATATAGATAGATGCCAAGAGATCAGGCTCATGAAGCAATTCAGTTTCAGCTGGCTGGGAATGCCCGATAGGTATGAAGAAAAGACACGATCAACGACAACCGTTCCTCCAGATGTCGTATTCGTGACAATATCCAGGCAGGCTCAAAACTGGAACATACACCTTTGTACTGTTTATTTCGCTTTGCACTGGATTCTACGGCGCATTTCCGGGAAATACAGGCTTAGCCAGTCAACAAAAGTCTGCATCCAAAGAAATCAACAGAAAGAGGTACATAGCACAATGGTCAAGAGATGTCTCGCGTCTCTTCATATAGAAGAGCGGTGCTGTATTAATTTCAACCCAGGGCGACGTATGCTGCTGCTAACGCCATTGATATTCGAACACCCTGCCTGCAATAGCCTGCGGAATATCTTCGACCACATCTGTTCGCCAGGTGGCTGCTCAAGTCTCTAGCCTCTCTGAAGACCTCGGCCATCACGGAGACATCTGGCTCAAAGCTTCTGGGCACTTCGAGACTGCCCATGGACCGGTAAGGGATGGATCTTTAGATGGGCCCTTGTGTACCTCCCCCGGTAGTACTAGCCTCATTTGTGGATAACCGCAAACCTTGTTGCCTTGACAGCAATGTGCTGCGGATCCGAAGATAGCCTCCTCCATTCCTGTTTTCCAGGCCACGAGGCTCACAAGGGTTGGAGTGGTTGGACGTACGGCGGCCAGGTCGTAGGTGTGGGTCGGGACTACTTAGTATGTTCTTCGAGGATTGCTGGGGTGCTCGAATTACGGACTAATTGGACGGCACAGCAAGTTCTGCCGGGTTACACGAGTCCTGACTGTGTCACCCTTCTTCCTTCATCGTACGATAGCTATTTGGCGTACTCGGTACATCAGGTTCTGCCCCTCATGCATATCTGCCCAAGGGTCATGATCACCAGGCAGCACTCCGTAGTGGAAGATGTGCCAGGTATACCAAGCATGGAAGCCCGCACCTGCTGAGCAGAAAGGTCGTGATTAAACGACTCATAAACAGCCACCAGAACAAACAGAGTGTCCAACCACCTGGAAGACGGCTATGGTCTCTGAGCCGACCAGCATACACCTACCCGCGGAATCCGCGGCAGAGAGAAGTAACAATGGCATGCCAACAGCTTTTCGGGGTCCGTGTTTCTCTCAAACCTCACCCGAGCACCGGTCAATTATCTACTGCGCCTTGCGGTGGCCCCTAGACCCATAGAGCCCATTGTGTGCAATTTTTCGCAGGCTTCGCTAACGAGGTAGTACCACAAGGGGTTGATGTAATGTAGTAGTATTTCAATTATATATATGCCCACTATGGAATTGCTGTCCTGCTTAGGTAAGGAAAAACGTGTCTCGCAGTGATGGTACAGTTTTCACTGGCAAAATCAAGCATGAAGTTGTCGTGGCTCTATGGCCGCAGTCGAAACCAGCTCATGTGCCGGCCCTCCTGGTAGCACGAGGACCTCCGAGAGCAGCGTGTTGCTCAAGACGTAGCACTCACTACCTACCAATGCCAGCCCCCTCACTATATCGAGATACTGATTGATACCTAGTAGATAGATGAAACCAATCCAAAATGGCCTACGATTCATCGCGTGTGACCACTGCAAGAAAAGCGCCTTGACTCCACCGTAGTCTGATAACCCGGGTATCTTGCGCGTCGTGGCCGAACACCTTGCCCCAACGCCAACCTGACTCCCGCGTACTCTGATGAAATGCCGTTCAGTTGAGATGAGAAAAGAGATAGGCCCAGGAGTCCCGTGCCTAAGAGGCGGAGGCGGGCAAGCAAGGCGTAACAATGTGGGCATCTGATGGCCATTTTTTGGAAGCAGGTGGCCAAACCTACACTGACGGAGGTGGCCTGATTTGAAATGATAGGCATCTGGCGGCTTGCCTTTCACAGAGCTGACCTCAGGTGAGAAGTCAGACTTCTGTTCTCATCTTACAGCAATCTTGGTAGAGAGAGTCTGCTTGATTTCCCCCAGGGGGTCCTTGCTCGGCATGAGCCCGTCCCGACGGATGAGCATCGACGGGAAGCGGATTTTTGCCTGGGCGGGGGCGTTAGTATTATATAAGACACCCAGAACGGAGAATACGGGTTGGGGGGGGGGGGGGTAACTCACGGCAGCCAGACTGCTGGCATACTTGATGCCCAGCTCGCTCGCGATGAAGTTCAGGCGGCCGATGGCCCACTCCCTCTGCGAGTCCATGGTGTAGTCACAGGTCCTGACGGTGCTCAGCGGCCACGCGACCATGAGCCCGCCCAGCATCTTGCTCTGCTCGTCCGTGCCGCACGCGAAGCCGCCGGGCGCCGGGGCGCTGGGCTGCTGGACGTTCCTCTGGTGCATGCTGAGCATGTACGGCACCGCCGAGATGATCTCGGAGATGTTGGCCTTGCAGGTCCTCACGGCCGTGGCGTACTCGGGCGTGGAGCGGAAGTCGGCCGGGCTGCAGATCCACGCGGCGACGCGGATCAGCAGCGACATGAGGATGATGCGCGTCGCGCGGGTGGCGTTCCATATGCTGGCGACGATCAGGTCCGAGTAGGCGTCGACACGGCCCGGGAACATGGGCGCCTGGCGGATCTGGGCGTTGTCCTCGAGCACGCCGTCCTCCCAGTGCAGCGGGGTGAACTGGTACTCGGCGGGCAGGCCCTGGAGGAAGTTGGCCATCTGGAGGTCGAGGTCCTGGACCTTGCGGAGCATCTCGAGCATCAGCTCCAGGCCCTGGTCGTTGCGGGCGAGCGTGGCCATGAGGCGGGTGACCTCGGCGCGCAGGTCGGTGACCTCGAGGGCGAAGCGCTGGTACCGGGCGCCGATGGAGTCGGCGGCCACGGACTCGGGGAGCCACCAGTTGACGCCCATGACGGACGAGGTGCCCGACGACAGCGTGCGGGCGATGATCTGCAGGCGCACGGCGTTGAACAGCAGCACCGAGTCCTTGCTCTGGACCATCTCGCGGCCCCGCGACCGCACCAGGTGCATGGCGCCCTCGATGTGCGTGCGCCACGCGAGCAGGCCGACCTCCTTGGCCGCCGTGATCTTCTCGAACAGCGACAGCAGCAGCACCGTCGCCAGCGTGCCGTCGTGCTTGCTCTCGACCGGGTCCTGGAGCGCCCTGGCGATGGCGGCCAGGGCCCGCGAGTGCTGCATGTACGACAGCTCCACCAGGTCCGTCGAGTCGCCCTTGAGGCGGTTGCCCATGGCCGCCAGGGCGACCGCGCTGTAGGCGAGCTGGAAGGCGCTGTCGGGCCGGTTCTGCGAGTTGAGCAGCGGCAGCAGGTAGTCGAGGTGGCCCGAATTCCTGCCTCGCTGGCCGGGCACCATGATGAAGTTCCACGCGAAGAAGTGGCTGGCGCGCTGGTCGAGTGGGATAGCTGGGGCGGCTGCTGGGAAAGACACCACCTCGAGGGGCGAGGCATAGGCATTGGGTCTCGATGAAGGGCCTGGCACGGCGGATGTGGGTGAGGAGGTCGTTGGCGAGGAGGACTGTGATGAAGAGCTGCCGTGATCGGCGCCGAGGTGCGCGGCCGAGTTCTTCCTGCTGCTGCTGCCAGCCTTGTTGCCACTATTCATATCCTGGGCCGTGTCGAATGTGATAACGAAGCCCCCTTCCTCGGCAGCCCTCTTGGCCGCCTTCTTGGCCGCAGCCTTCTTCGCCCGGGCAGCTGTTGCTTGCGTCTCGTCCCGGTGGAGTATGTCGAAGTCGGATCGGTACCCTGAGCAGTGACGGCGTGATTTGATGCATTGGTTGCACACAGGCCTGGTCTCGTCGCACTGCAGGGCGATGCCACGGTCAACCAATGCGTCTCAGACCGACATTGAGCATCCGTCACACCCAGAGAAGAAGCGCCGAGGGGGGAAGAACAGGGAGCTATTGCACCGCACCTTTATTCTCCTGGCCCTGCACGTCCTACAGCCCATCGAGGGCTTCCCGCAGTACACCATTTCGAATTGATATCGCCGCCTGGGCCGCTGTCTCGCCGAATCCTGTCGGCGATATGTGCTTCGATGGTCCAATGCGGACCGTGGAACCGGCACGGACGAGGAAGATTGCTGGCTGGGTCGGTTACGTTATGTCGTCTCTGGCCGGCAGTAGGAGGAGGAGGAGGAGGGGTATATGAACATTGAACGTCCGAAAGGGGCAATACGCTGAGGTGTGTACGATGGGATATGAAAAGCACTTTTGTTGCGTCTCCCTCACGATCACATCCGCGGGGGGAGGAAGACAAGAAACCAACATGCAAGAGGCCGCGTCGTGTGTTAAACCATCAGTGTCGAAGCCAAGCGAGTCGGAAGAAGAGGCTTGTGGAGATCCCGCAAACCCTTGGGAACGAACTCCTCGTCTCCCCGGGTGGAGCATTTCCCAAGCTGGCCTAGTCAGGGAGGCAACAGGCGCAGGGAAGCAGGGGGCTAGCCCGACGATGCATACACGTACCGAGTTTCTGCACACAGTATTCTGTCTTGCGATGTGGGTGGTGTCGGAACCACACGACCACTAAGGTTACGGCCAGAGCCAGGTCAGGGAACACTGCAGGACGCACAGATCCTGCTAAGACGATCCCAGCGTCTTGGACACTGTGACACGACACGCTAAGATCGGCTTGCTTGCTGGCCTGGTCTTGGATGTGTCGAGTGCTCTGGCTCTGGTGGGTGAACTGGCAGCTCTGCTGGACCTGTGTTCCTTTTTCTTTATGCTACCTTGCCTTTTCTTGCTTGTTGGCTCTACCTGCTTCCCTTTTTCTTTTTCTCGCAACTCTTCCCAACTTGAAGAGCTCATGCTAGTATGGAACCTTTGATTCCACCAACAGATTTAAGCATCTCCAGACCCCGGATCGACCAGATCGATCTCAGATATGCTTGCTTGATGGGACCCTCTACTATATGCAAGCGACACGTCTCCGTCCCCTCAACGGCACTGCCAAGTGTTCCCCAGGGTTGTTAACTCAGCGAGCATCCGAATCGGGCCCCATCGTCCTTGGGCAAGACATGGTCAGAATCGTCTCAACTCTGTGACCTGTTTGAAGTTTCGCATCTCCAGTCTGGCGAGGCTCAGCCTGCATGCACGGTTTCAAGCTTGGCTCGAGCTATAACGTGGCACTTGTGCCCATAACGAACGGCTAACAGGGCCTAATCGCATGCCCGCTGGCATTGCCAGTGAGCTGCACTCGAATCTGCCGATATTCTCCCAGGCTTGCTCCTGTCGCCTCACCTGTTCTCACCTCTGGGAGACTTGGCCCCCAAAAGAGCTGGAAGCCTGTCTCTTTCACGCCTAGCTGCTCGCAATTCGTTCCCCCGTGGTCTGACATCCACGAGCTTGGAGCTTTGGTCCTCGCAAGGGCAAGACTCTCGACAGGCAGACTGGCCACGGAGTACCGACATATAGGTCTGCTGTGAAGCTGGTCTGCCCCGCTCTCCAAGGCCTGCCGCCTGCTGCAGCCGTGATCTCAGTGCCATGTCGCATGATCGTCGTGAGATGCGTCACATTGTTGTCGAGGCCACAGGCCCAAGTACCTGGTAGGGCCAGATGTTGGGCAGGCTCCTCGACTCCAGGACCTCTGCCCCGTACACGCCCCAATGTGCAGAACAAAACAATGGCAAGACGACCTCGGGACCCACGCCCAGTGGACAACCATCACACCCAACCGCCCCGCCATCTTGGGCTGATCTAAGTCGTACGGTTTCTGCTGAAGAAGTATCGGGTGAACTCGGTCCAGTCTCCATCTCCTTGACCATCTTGGTTGGAACTCCGAGTCGAGATGAAATGCGGCGCCCGCAAACATCGCCCATTTCTCATCTCACTTACGGGGCATGCGGATCACTGACCACTGGCACACTCACACCCGCATGGGGGTTTAGTTTAGTAGAGTTTGGGAAAGCGTGTCGAATTCACGACGGACCGCCCCGGGCACACTAACACCATCTCGCCTGCAACGCACCCAGAAGTCCGGGTCTTTTGATCGGTCGAGCCCGATCATCACCTGCAGGCTGCTGCAGCAGACGTGCTTCTGCGCTATTGAAAAAAGAGACTTCGATTCCAAGACGGCGGGGTTCGTCACACATATTAGGCAAAGGCCCGAGAGGGTGGGGTACGACGCAGGAGAAATGACCAGTTCCAGACAGGGCCAAGTGGTAATTGGATCTTGGGCCGGGGGGGGGGGGGACTGGCCACGCTACCGCCATGTTTCTGCCGTGACACAGCAGACGGCGGCCCTGGGCCTGAGAAACAAGCAACAGGCCCGCGGCGATCAGCAGGAACGGTGAGACAGCCCAGCCAACCGGAAGCAGCCTCATATGACCCGTTCGGACGCACGAACAATGTCGCGGCCCTCGGGGCGGGCACACACGAGACACACAGCAGGCGTTGCACAGCATGGACACGACCTCAGCCGAGCAGGCAGGCAGGTCATACAGAGAGGGTCTCTGGAATGTGGTGACTGTAGGTACTGCAGGTGCTGTACGTAAGGCCCATGTGCCGGCCAGGGCTAAGAAGAAGCGCGAACGACAAGCTCGGACTCCGCCCGTTGTGGAAGCGTCATCACGAAGAACGGCAATTCCTTAGTCTTCTTGCCCTGGTCCACAGCTGCCTGCACAAACCCGGGGGTCCCGCGGTGCCCATTAGAGTTTTGTCGACTTATCAGTGAGGGTGTGATGCGTGATTGACTATATTCTGCAGCCAGGCTCGCAAATTACATACTGTCATACGTGCACCGCATATACCGCTCGTATCTCGTATAAACCGTATATATATATACGTGTGGCTGAGGAGGAGGCCCTCCCAAAAGCCCTCCCCGAAGCCCGCAAAACGTGGCAGGGCGCCAGCCGTCACGTAGCAACCGCAAAAAAGCGCGTGGCCCAATTCCCCGCCATTTCGGGGTGCGAGTCGCAGCGGACGACTGCCGAGGTCGCATCTGGGCCAGGGCATCAGGGCATCTGGGGAACCCCATGGGATCCATGCATTGGTATGGGGTGGGAACTCCTCCCCACACTATGAGCCACATGATATGCATGGCCTGAGCCTGCCACTCGTCAGGCACAGCAACCCGAGCGTGTTGCCCCGCCCGACAGGCCACAGGCCAGCATGGGCTGTCCACCACCAGGGAAAACACCAGTTCATCCCGGCACCGACGGGGACGGCCAGCTGGTGTTGACTCGCTGCACATGGCTGCATCATGGCAGGTCCGGTGGGCCGGAGTTCTTGGGGGCAATCAAAGTCGGCCCGGTTGGGGCTCGCTCTCGCCGCGGACGGGCCCTGAGATTGTCTCGCCAGTCGGCGCAGCTGTCACCGTAGCCACAGGCGTGCCGATGGCATGTCGTCGTCGTCATGCCCTCACCCTCACCCTCATCTAGTAGTGTGAATATATAAGTACTGGCCTGGTTGGGCCCGCCCACTGGGGCCGGAGGCGGATGGTTGCTCGATCAGGCCTTGGTGATTGTCGTGCTGCCGTCCGCCTCTCCTCCTCCCCTCGTCCCCCCATGATGGTCAGGTCTCCCAATCTCTCGTCCGCCTCGGCGGTGCTGCTGTCTGCCCTCCTTGCCGGCGCGCCTTCTCCGGCACTGGCTGTTGACCCGACAGTCAGCCTCGACTACTCGACTTATATCGGCACAGCACAGTCGGGCACAGGGGTTACTGAATGGCTTGGAATTCGTTACGCAGCGCCTCCTCTTGGGGACCTTCGCTTTGCACGGCCCCAGGACCCTGCTGTGGTCAGCACCCCACAGCCGGCTAACCAAGTATGTCTATCCATCTCCTGAGGGTGCCCCGGTGATGAACTCACTAGTAGTTCTGTCTGTGTGTATACATAGACCTAATATATACGGAATATATATATATATAAAAGAGGATCTGACATGTGTGAAACCAGCATGGCAAGTATTGCATCGGCACCGGCAAACCATCCAACGCAACCGACACATCAGAGGACTGCCTATACCTCGACATATACGCGCCGAGCAACGCCACCTCGACATCCAGGCTTCCCGTCTTCTTCTTCATCCAGGGGGGCGGCTTCAACGAGAACTCCAACGCCAACTACAACGGCACGGGGCTGGTCAACGCGTCCGGCAACAACATCATCGTAGTCACCTTCAACTACCGCGTGGGCCCGTACGGCTTCCTGACGAACAACGACGGGCTGCAGGCCAACAACGGGCTGTACGACCAGCGCAAGGCGCTGCAGTGGGTGCAGGACTACATCTCCCAGTTCGGCGGCGACCCGGGGCACGTCGTGCTGGGCGGCGACTCGGCGGGTGCGGCGAGCGTCAGCCTGCACCTGGCGGCGTTCGGGGGCCGCGACGACGGGCTGTTCCACGCGGCGGCGGCGGAGTCGGTCTCGTTCGCGACGGTGCTGACCCCCGAGGAGAGCCAGTACCAGTACGACAGCCTCGCGGTGCGGCTGGGGTGCACCGGCAGCAGCAGCGAGACTCTGGCGTGCCTGCGGGCCAAGCCCGCGGTGGAACTCCAGGACGCCAACTTCAACATCCCGTACCCGGGGGCCGAGGCCGCGCCCAAGTACATGTACAACCCGGCCATCGACGGCGACCTGATCCGGGAGCTGACATACACGGCCTTCGAGCAGGGCAGCTTCGTCAAGGTGCCCGTCATCATCGGCGACGACACCAACGGCGGCACGTCGTTCGCGCCCGAGGACACGTCGACGCTGGCCGAGAGCAACGTGTGGCTCCGGGACCAGTTCCCCTACATCACGCCGGCGCAGCTCGCCGACATCAACGCGCTGTACCCAAACGCCAACGACACGTGCCCCAACGCCGGCTGCTACTGGCGGCAGCTGTCGGACACGTACGGCGAGATGCGCTACATGTGCCCGGGGATATACATCACCTCGGCCTATGTCGGCTACGGCGTCCCCCAGAGCTGGCACTACCGGTGGAACGTCGAGGACCCGGCGCAGGTGGCCGCGGGCAAGGGCGTGCCGCACACGGTCGAGCTGAACGCCATCTTCGGGCCCTTCAACACCCGCGGCAACGCGCCCGACAGCTACTATCCCAACGGGACCAACGCCAACGCCGTGCCGGTGGTGCAGGCGTACTGGACCAGCTTCATCAGGTCGTACGACCCAAACACGTACCGGCTCGACGGGACGGCAGAGTGGCAGCCGTGGGACGAGGACAGCCAGCAGCGGATCCTGTTCGACACGGGCGGCCTGACGAGCATGGAGAGTCTGGCGGGCTCCGAGCTGATGCAGCGCTGCGAGTATTGGTTCGGCATCGGCGTGGACATTCGTCAGAAAAAGAGGTCAGTGTCGTAGCCCGGTGCCAGCGTCGCACATGCTCGCATGGGCATATAACAAGACGAGGTAGTAGCAACTAAAATTATATATACTGTACCATATTACGTGTGATCCTCATACCAACCATCTCGTCCTCTTACAAGAACCCAAAACAGGACGTCATTGGTCCGTCCCCTGGGCCCACGCCCAGCCGTGACTCGTACTGCGTAAATCAGCAAATAGCAAATGGCCAGCCGCACGTGGCCTGTCAAACCTAGCTGCTATTCCCGAACCGTCGTGTACGCCCTCAAAGTTACGCCTGTCAGATGCCAGTGGCTGCTTCACCAAAGCATAAACGGGGCCCCCTCCTTGCCACACCACCGGCAACCACGAGGGGACCAGGCATTTCAGGCGCGTCAAACTATCACAAATGACAGGCCGAGAATAGAAACGTCAAAGGTCAGGCCAGGCACACTGCCGCCAAGCCGCTGCAGGATCTCGACCGTTGTGAACAAAGGCGAGACCGCCGCCGGCAGAAGGCCCAGCAATCTCAGAGGCGCCGTTTCCCAGAGCTGCCAAGCCGCCCCTCCCATAGTCCCATAGGCCCAGCTAGCGAGGTAAGCGGCGGGCGCGTGGGTATTTCAGTTCAAACGGGCTCGAGTCAGTTCTGCATGGGGCCAGAGATCCGTTGCGCTGGGCCATCCCCCTTCGGGCCTGACTGCTACACTGGGACGGGGCAAGGGTGGGAATGAAGGCATGATGGCAATGGATCCTGTCATGGTTCTCTGTCAAACTCGGCTGCGTCGGCCGCAGCTAGGGTGGTCCTGGAGGGTGGTGGTGAATTAGCAGAATTACAGTACACAGCAACGGTGCATACGCATTCCTGTCCTGTCCTGCCTGTCCTTCCAAATGGAGTTTCTGTTTCTTGTTGGCGCGAGGCGGGTGAGGCGGAGGCCAGCCTGGCCCACGTTGACAACCTTGGAGACCCTGGGCAACCAGCTGGCTGGTTTCGATGCAAGGCCACCTCTTTTAACTCTCCGAGGCATGCAGGCCCTTGTGCGGTGGACGTGAATATACTCGTTTATGCCTCATCGTGGCTCTACCTAGGTAGGTACCTATGTCTGCCTCTGCCCTGCCAGATCATTGCCAGTGATCAATGCCAGTGATCTGCAGTCTGCGTCCGCATCTAGTCCACGGGTGTATACTGCCTAGGCAGCACTTGGGTGTAGGGCACACTGCCGCAGCACGGGGCAGGTAGTTATGATAGGGATCAGCAGAGTAATACAGGTCACTTGGGCATCACCATCTATGCGCCAGCTGCGCCAGCTGCGCCCAAACAGCGTTGGGCAATCTCCGACGGCACAAACGGCAAATGGGCCCTCGGGGGGGTCGGTTGGATCTAGACCAGTCGCTTGGGGACATGGACCCGAGTTTATTCCAGCACGATTGTACCCAGGCTTGCCAGGCAGCCCAGAATACCACAGTAAAACCAACTATCGGCCGACGGAGAAAGAAAAGACGGCCCCAAGGCACCCAGCCTCCCCAGCCCGCCCAGGCTATCCCCTCCCAGGTAACCCCCTGAAACCCAAGGGCACTATTGCCTGTGCTGGCCTCCTCTGGCCTGATGTGCGGTACACAGATGCGTTTCGAAAATCCAAGGCATGAAAAACCTTAATTATCCTGATCAACGCCAGGCGTACGCCAAGCTTGGGGCTCCGGGCCCACAGATCGGCTACTGTCCACAGGGCTGCGGCTTAACGACACCTCAATGGCACAACGACATGTGGTCCACGGAGCAGAGCTTCTCGGACATCCCATCCTACATACAAGCTCCCTGACATTCCATCCCACGTGAGGTGAGACACACAGTGGCATATGCTCACGCTCACACGCATACGAAGACATATCGACACACATAGACAAGAGGCCAGATGCTCGCTCGCCTGTCCCTCACACACACACACACACACACATACACAGACTCGAAACATATCTGCTCATAGCCAGGAGGACAACGGAGAAAGACACACAAGAAGCAGCGCGCGCCTCCCTCCAGCCGACGACCTTGTGGATTTTGGATTCTGACTACACTCCTACCCACCGCACGACTAGAACAAAGTTCATCGACAGCTGAGCCTCCTCCGCCTGGCCCCCTCCCCCCTAATCAGCCAGAGTCAGAAGTCAAGACGTCAGACGCAGGCTCAGGCTCAGGCTCAGGCCCAGGCTCAGGCTCAGGCTCAGGCTCAGGCTCAGGCTCACAAGCAGACGCAGACGCAGACGCAGAGACACACCGCCTCCTCCTCCACCGCCCACTCTAGCGCGGCCTCCCCGGAAGGCTCCAGAGCGGCGGGCTGGAGAGAAGCCGGAGTCACGGAAGCATATCACCACACCACACATATCCCACCCCCATCCACACTCCACCATGTCTTACTCGATGCACCCTCAGCCTCACCACTCCCAACTACAACTACAACAACAACAACAACACCACCACTCACAGGGCCCGCCGCTGCACCAGCCGCCATCATGCTGGACGTGCCGGGTCCGCCGCAAGAAGTGTGACCGCACCAAGCCGCGGTGCCACGCGTGCTCGGCGCTGGAGATCACATGCCACTACAGCGAGGCGCGGCCGGAGTGGATGGACGGCGGCGACCTGCAGAACGAGATGGCCAAGCGGATCAAGGCCGAGGTGCGGCAGGGGGCCGAGGCGCGGCGGGAGCGGCAGTACGTGCAGGTGCTGACGCTGCACGAGGACCGCATGAGGAGGCCCGACGACCCGGCCCTGGCCGAGGACAGGCCGGCGCCGCACAAGCCCGAGATGCAGACCATGCACCAGAGGCCGTCCTTCTCGTCACTCAACAACATCAGCGGCGACGAGAGCCGCAGCGACGGGTCCGCCGCCGGCGAGGCCATGAGCATGACGCCCGGCACCAGCCCGCCCAGCTCGAGCGAGAGGTCGCCGCCCGTGTGCCCGGACTGCGTGACCGACGGCTTCGTGGCGCCCCCCTTGCCGCCGGCCCACGAGTACACGGTGTGGAAGCTGCTGGGCATCGACAACGAGCGCGACCGGGCCATCGCCGTCGACGTCGAGACCGACTTCACCATCACGTTCCTCGACTACGTGTTCCCGTTCCTCTTCCCCTTCTACCAGCCGTCGGTGCTCGAGGGCGGGCGCAGCTGGCTGCTGGCCATGCTGCGCAGCAACACGGCCTTCTTCCACTCGGGCATGAGCCTGAGCGCCTACTTCTTCACCCTCATCCTCAAGGGCGGCGAGCGGCACCAGGTCTGCTCGCAGCAGATCTGGAACAAGCTGGTGGCCCACGTCGACACGGCGGTGCGCGCCATGCAGCAGGACATGGAGGACCTGAAGCGCGGCCAGGACGGCAGGACGACCATCTTCCAGAAGGGCAAGACCATGGAGAGCATCATCCAGCTGCTCATCCTCGAGCACTCGATGGCCCGCACGTCGGACTGGAACGTCCACCTCTCGGCCGCCATGGCCATCTTCCAGGAGATCTTCGAGGAGTACGGCGTGGGCGCCGACGGCAAGCCCGACATCCCCGCCGTCATCCAGGCCCTGAGCCGGCCGTCGTGGAACCAGGGCATGATGGAGCGCGTCGTGTGGCACTGCGACCAGGGCGCGTTCCGCTTCTTCTCGGCCTTCCTGCTCTACACCGACATCGTGGCCTCGACGTCCCTCGAGAGCCCGCCGCGGCTGCGCAACTACCACAATCTTATCATCGTCGACGAGACGCCCAACCCGCCCTGCGAGATGCTGCGCATGGAGAGCTTCTTCGGCTGCCAGGGCTGGGTGCTGCTGGTGGTCGCCGACATCGCCGTCCTCGACGCCTGGAAGAAGGAGAACAAGGCCCGCGGCACCTTCAGCCTCAACGACCTCACCGAGCACGGCAGCCGCCTGCACCAGCGCCTGCAGGGCGGCCTGGCCCGCCTCGAGCGCGAGAGCTTCAAGAAGCGGCCCTTTGACATCACCGCCGTCCTCAGGTCCTACTACCGCCCCGACGCCGCCCACCAGATGCGCATCGACGAGCAGATCGCCGCCACCCGCATCTGGGCCCTCGCCTCCATGGCCTACCTGTCCGTCGTCGTCACGGGGTGGGCCGCCGCCGTGCGCACCGCCGCCAGCAGCATCGCCGTCGCCATGCAGCTGCTGTACGGCATCTCGAGCCCCGCCGTCCTCAAGAGCCTGACCTGGCCCTTCTACGTCCTCGGCTGCCTGGCCACCCGCGAGCAGGAGCAGCTCTTCACCCACATGGCCTCGTCCATGGGGCCCCTGCTCGAGTTCGGCACCGTCGGCGAGAGCATGCGGATAATGAAGCGCGTGTGGGAGCTGAGGGACTCGGGCGACATGGACGTCGAGAACTGGGACATTGCCGCGTGCTCGAGGGTCTTTGGGAAGCAGGTGCTCATGACATGATCGATCCCATGACATTCGTTGACAACCGAGACTGTCCAGCCATCAAACTTGCACTCACAAAAAGCGAGCGGGTTCAGTGTTATTTCTCTTTTGGGTATGATTCATGAAGTATCTACGGTTTCAACAACTCTGGGCAACATTCGCCCCACGAGCATGTCCATTACTTATTAAGGTTCTGTACCGGATTTTGATCAAAGTCTGTCTATCTTGGGAATATTTAATTTACACAAATCGGAGCTCGTCTGAAATCATTGTCTGGTCCGTGCAAGTCGCCCTCTTCCGGTCGCCCTATACTGGCATATGTACGTGCAGATATTGAAACCCGCCGCCCCCTTGTTCGCGACTAACAGAGAACCATATAGATGAACACGAAGGAGTTTGAGGGGGGGGAAATCCCAAGCAGCATTCAACATCATCAGACCATCCCTCACGATGTCCTTTTCTATCCACGGAACGATTTAACCCGACGGCTGACCTCCAAATGTTCCGAGAGACTCGACAAGGCCCGCAACGTCACAACATTCGTTATACGGCACAGCTGATGTATCCATCAACGGCGGTTGCAGTGCTAGGAATCCCCAGAAGTGTTAGGACCAAGTAAACCGTGGGCGGAACAACAAACAAGGGCGAGAGGGTAGTGCTCACCAGCCAACAATGCAAGCAGCGCCCCCATGGCATGCTTCAATACAGCCGACCTGCTCCGCCGCCGTCTGCGTCTCACATGCTGCGATCTGACGTCCAGAGAGAGGCTGCTTCTCATGGGCTGACGACGACTCCTTGACAAGCGGCCAGGCCAAGGCGGAGGCGACGAGGGCGAACAGTACCGAGGCGTGGCTGAGCTGCATCTTGTCCGCGAGGTGGTGGATGGGGTCGAAATATGCGTTCACGTGGTTGGAAATTTAAAGTATCGGTGGGGGAGCGATAGTGGCGGGAAATTACTTGTTGGAGCCACTTAGGTCACGGCTGTTGAGGTGGTTGCTGTCTTCTGCCCTTCATCATTGCTGAGCGGCAGGACTTCGACGAGGTTTATATCCACAATCCCACAGCCGCGGCCAAGGGGCTGTCCTAAAGCGATAGCGAACCTAGATAGATTAACTCCTCGGCCTTACAGCCGCAGAAGGCTGTGTACGATCACCGGGCCCCCTCCGCCCTCATCTACGTGCATGGACTGCGCGATCGGTGTCCCTGGCGAGAAGAGGCATCCCAACGTCTCGGGACAACATGTAGTGAAGTATACCGTCTTTGCCAAGTGGGGAACCTTACCGAGATCCTCCATGCCCAAAGTGTTTCCCAATTACGTATGTCCGCCCGTGGGGGTTGGGACGCGGCTGCGAATGAGAATCAGGGCTTATATTTGCCAATGGGCGACAGTTGAGCCGCGGACCCCTGCGTGCGGTGCACAGTTGTTCCTTCACCCCCAGGGCTGCCTCGGGACAAGCCGACCATGTGAACGCAGCCGTACGCGTTCAACGCTAATTAATATCTTCTGCTTGATTTCTATCTTGTCATTTGAACACCTAGTTCGTGATGCTGTACGTCACTGGGGTCCACATGCATACGCTTAGCTTCGTTTATGCTCATGCCGAATGCTGGGCGTGACGCCTGGTAGACATATTTTGAGACGGGGACGACAGTACCACCGATTCGTCCGAAAGTCACTCTCAGATAAGTCTTGTGCCGCTTGACACGTGGCTCTTCCTGCGCGTTGCTCTCTGGAAGTTTCGTACAGGATAGACAGTCTGTTCATCGCTGACAGCACCAGCAAGAACAGGTACTGGGACAACTTGACGCAATGGCTATGATACTAGTTCACAGAAGCAAATTAGAAAGTTACTGTTAGAATACATGCAGAGTGAAACTTGATGTATTTATCTTGAAAGGATCACCTAGGGTATTTGCTGTTATTCCGGCTTATAGAGGAACTCAAAGACTTCAACTTCAGGTAGTCCTAAGATTACCCCCACCCTGTCAGCTGTTCATGCTAGGCCTGAGGTGTGGTGGTGGTTTCGTTTCTAATTCCCATACACATAAACCGTGTGTGGCGCGTTCACATAGTGATGCCAGGTTTGACTACAAACATAGAAGACTGGAAGAAGGCCCTCGCCATCCATGAGATACGCACCAAGTCTTTTGCTCGTGACTCTGTGAGCTCACTCAACCCAATGACCCAGTTCAATGGAAGCCTGCGACCACTGTGAGTGCTAATGAGAGCAGATATTCGCACCCGTAAAGACGGATAGTATACCTATTATTAAAATAAGTATATAATTTAATTACTAACCTAGTTTAATTGAATAATATATAATATATATGTTAAATACCTTTTAAATTTTAATTTTATAATAATTATTATAAAATTAATATTTAATAAATAATAATAAATTTTAAATTTTATAAAAAAAACTATATTATAACTTTTCTTTTAACTTTAAATAAAATTTCTTTTAAATATAAAATATAATATTATAATATATTATAAAAATAAAGTATTTAATTATATTTTTTATATTTTTATAACTTTATTAAAAACTAATTTATAATTTAATAAAATAATAATTATTTATTAATTAAAGATATAAATATAAATATAAATATAATTTTTATACACTTTAATTTTATATATATAAATACTTAAAAAATAGAATTAAAATAGAAGAATATTTTATATAATTATATATTAATAGATAACACCCGAGAACCCACACATTATTAAATTCGTAAAGTAGAGAGATCACCAACGGGACCGTTTTAAGGTACAGGCACCAAGGAGTGCGTTGGCAGCATTGTATTCCCGAGAGAACGCCGGTTTGTGCAAGTAGATTGGAACGTCGCAACTTAAACCCTATAACGAACAGCCTACTGCGTACTTTTAGAAAATATTCATTATCCTTCTGCCCTTATGGGGCCACTTGCTGCTGAGATGACATCGTAGAAGAATGCAGTAGAATGCAGATAGTCTGTAGCTTTTCTGCTATTGCAAGCAGACAAGATGGGGCCCAGTCAGGACGAGCTCTCAACCATATATACATGAGTGCAAAGTAAAATTGAGTCCTGTTGGCCCTCGATACCGTGTCGCTCGCTGTCCACCCAACCAGCACTAGTTACGGTGATATTAACGATCGTTGGGAGCCACCCCCCCCCCTAACTCAGTAGCGGAATCAAAGCAGATAACTACACTCCATGCCGTACTAGTTAGTAGTCCATACGCAGTCATAGTCACGTTGACACAACACATTAACAAATCGCACCCACTGATCGACAGGCCGGTACGGAGCAGTTTCATAGAAAACCGCCGCGTGAATAACTATACCTTCCATGTAAATTACTCGCACAAGGCCTTATACCCACCCACATTCAGAACATATCCCAGTCCGTGATCCCGTAGCCAGACCCTAGCCGGGCAGCCTCCGGGGAAGTTTTTTCTCTCTTACATACAAGGCGTCTCAAAGGTTTCCAGTCAGATCTGGATATCATCTTCCACAGTGTATCGAAACCCGGGGGTGATTGTTCCTGTAAAGTCTTGGCTTTTTGTACACCTACCATGTATGATATCTACGACATGTATGTAGTAAGCAAGTAATCTACCTTTCCCCCCACCGCCTCCCGACTTTTTCGGCTTTGTCTATCCAGACACAGACAGCACCCAGGCACCGCCACATACCCAGGAGGGCTCCAACAACCCAGCACCATCCCTCAACCACCCCCCCCCCCCTACTTCGTCAGAAACTTCTGAAAGCTCTCCTGCGCGATGACAACGTTCCCGACGGCATTAAGCCTCTTCCGCCCATCCTTCTGCTTCTCGAGCAGCTTCCGGCGCCTCGAGATGTCGCTCGCGTGCAGCTTGGCGAGGACGTCCTTCCGGAACGGCTTGAGCGTCTCGCGCGCGACGATGCGCCTGCCCACCGCGGCCTGGATGACAATCTCAAACATCTGCCGATCCACAAAGTCCCTCAGCCGCGACGCCCAGTATTTCCCCAGGCGGTCGACCTGCGAGGCGTGCACCACCCTGCAGATGGCGTCGACGGGCCTCTTGTTCACCAGCAGCTGCAGCTTCTGCAGCCTGCTCTCGCGCCAGCCGGCGTCCTCGTAGTCGAGCGTCGCGTACCCCCTCGTCGCGCCCTTGAGCTTCCCGAACAGGTCGTCCACCAGCGCCGACGCGGGCAGGTCGTACTTGAGGATGACCTGCGTGGCGTGGAAGAACTCGATCCCCACCTGCTCGCCGCGGCTGGCCTCGCACAGCTCGATCACGCGCCCCAGGTACTCCTCGGGCAGCGTGACGACGGCGTGCACAAAGGGCTCGTAGAAGGTCGCCGCGCGCGCCCGGTGGTCCTCATCGGACGGGAACTCGGCCGGGTTGGTGACGATGACCTCCTTGCCGTCCGGATAGACGATGCGGCTCGGCACCGAGGGCTCCGTGATGATGACGCTGGCGCCGTACTCCTGGCGCAGGCGGTCCTGGAAGACGGAGCAGTGCAGGCTCCCCAAGAAGCCGAGGCGCCAGCCCGCGCCCAGCGCGTCCGAGTGGTCCTTCTGCAGCGTGATGCTCCTGTCGTTGAGGACGAGCTGGCCGATGCTCTCGGACATGCGCGTGTAGTCGGACTGGTCGGTCGGGAAGGCGCCGACAAACACCATGGGCTTGGGCTCCTCGAAGCCCGGGTACATCTCGACCTTGGCCTCGCTGCCGACCGTGGTGAAGGTGTCGCCGAGCTTGGCGTCCTGGATGCGCTTCATGCCCGGGTTGAAGACGAGGTAGCCGACCTGGCCCGCGCGCAGCTCGCCCTGCGGGACCTGGTGCGGGTACTGGATGCCCACCTCGCCGACCGTGTACTTCTTGCCCGTCGCCAGCGAGACGACGTGGTCGCCGGCCTTGACGGTGCCGTCAAACAGGCGCACCAGCAGGTTGACGCCGCGGAAGGTGTCGTACCACGAGTCGACCAGCAGCAGGCGCAGGGGCTTGGTGCTGTCGCCGTCGGGCGGGGGGATGCGCTCGACGACGGCGGGCAGGATGGCCTCGACGTTCTTGCCGCTCTTGGCCGACACCAGCACGGGGGCGCCGCCCTGGTGGTCGTCGGCGCCGATCTCGAAGGTGTCCCTGATCTGGGCCACGGCCCGCTCGACGTCGGCGGTGGGCAGGTCGATCTTGTTGACGACGGGGACCATGACCAGCTCCTGGGCGAAGGCGGTGTAGAAGTTGGCGACGGTCTGGGCCTGGATGCCCTGGGAGGCGTCGACCAGCAGCAGGGCGCCGCCGCACGAGGCGTAGGACCGCGTGACCTCGGCGCGGAAGTCGACGTGGCCCGGCGTGTCGACCAGGTGCAGCAGGTAGTCGAGGCCCCTGTGCTTGTAGATCATGGTGCACGTCTGCGCCTTGACCGTGATGCCCCGCTCGCGCTCCACGTCCAGCTTGTCGAGGATCTGCTTGTTCTCGTCGTCCTTGGAGATGGTGCCCGTCAGCTCCAGCAGCCGGTCGCTGAGCGTCGACTTGCCATGGTCGATGTGCGCGATGACGCAGAAGTTGCGGAACCGCTCGAGCGGGATCGCGGCGATGCGTTTCTCGAGGTCGGTTTTTGGGCCTCCTCCCTTCTTTGACGTTGTTGTTGTTGGCGACGAGGAGGAGGAGGAGGACGAGGACGAGGACGAGGGGGGCGAGGACGAAGGGGAGGAATACGATCTTGCTGCGAGTGCAAGTGGTCCCTGTCGCAAAGGAGGAGGTAGTATTATGGTTATTCTTCTGCCCGGCTGGTCACGACACGCAATGCTGCGCACCAGGCGGCTTGATGGGCAGAGCGGCCGCAGACATACTGGTCGCATCGGAGAATTCGCCGCGCAGCCGCGTATCCAAGATGGCTGTTAGGAAATGGTGCCGGTCATTGTCGTGTCGGTCGGCTCGATTCTTTTGGCCTCTACATTTCTGGACCGACCCGACCAAGGGTCCTCCTTATCTTATCGCAGCACCAACCAAGTTCCTAAGTACCTAGGTAGGTATCTACGTACTGGGTGGGACTTGAGTATTTATTTCTCTATTGTGCACACCACGCATCTCACGCATTTATTCATATCGAGCATGCCAGTTGCTGATTGCTGTCGCGCCAGAATAACCAGGCGAACGAATGTGTTGATATCATTGAAACATGTCAACCCAATGCGGG